ACATACAAAAGGAAAGTAGTCCACCAAATGTTAAACTCAGGACCGATTTTTATGATCAAAAATCGTACTTTAGTTGCTTTAGGACACATCGAAATTTTGACAAAAGCAAATTAAGTTTTAACTGCATTTCTCATTCGTGAAGCGCTTGTTATCTTGTAACAGACGTTTTTAGAAAGAATCTCCATTTTCTGTTTTGACCTAAATTTTATTTATAACTGAGATGCATAAGTGCTCTTCACGGGTTGATGAAATCATAAGCAATATGATACATCATGATGACAACTCTCCCAGCCCTATTGTTCTTCAGTTGCTTTAAAGTAAGTGCTTCGAGGTACCCAATCAGATTTTTTTTATTCCCGGCACCTCTTTAGATGCTCTTTGATGGACATATACGGGAAAGGCAGTATCCTTCAGAGCGCAAGAGGTTTCGTTTTCGATGAGCTTTTTGGCAAACGCTGAAAACAACTTTGACTATTTCGGTGTCAAGCTACGGGAAACCCCTAAGAGTGGTTATAATTTATTGTCTACAAACTGCAAATTAGAAGAGATGTGTAGAGCATCACAAATAGTGATACTCAGGTCCTTTTGAGTGGCGGAAAGCGTGGAAGCTTCTGGCAAGTGCATGTTTGGTGAACTATCACTTCTGTTTACCGTCAGTATTTTTCATTTATTGGGATTGGGGTTTTTTTGTGCAAGTTAATAGTCGCATAGCCACTTACTTTAGTTAAAGCTGGGTAGATAAATTATTCAGATCTTCTCATTTATTCCGTCACACATGCATTTACACTTGTCAGTTACGTGTTCTATATCAGTCTGTATTGCCTTATGCAATCACTTCATCCTTGGTCGTTTATTTGCCGTTCATGAATAGAATTTCTGAGATACAGAAATTCTCAATACAATTTTTATTGGACTCTAATTTGTACCATTATTATAGATGTATCTAGTCGACAGAACATGCATGATTTTTGATGGGATATGAACTTCACTAGTGCAAATATTATTTACTTACACTGGCGTCAGATGATGGGCGCCAAGACGAGAAGAAGGCTTATAGCTGTTCCGTAACATACTCTATGAAATTCTTCCTGAAGAGCCAAGATGCAATCTAAGAGAGGTGTCTGCTATCAGATGTTACGGTCATCTACGCAAGAAAGAGTTTGAGAGTTTGACGATATTGGTAGGATATTACTCATCAATGAGAGGAGTGCTTAAATTATTAGGCATTCTGGCACCTCATTTGTCGAAGTAAACGAAGCCGGTAAAAGAGAACGAAATCACAGATTTGAAATCTCTTGTTTGAGTGATCTTCTAACTACAACATTGAACAATTACTTGCACCCATAAAATTCAATACTGAAATATGGTACGACAGAAAACCTATCACATGGCTCGATGACCAAATATGTAAAGGATGGCGGCGTTTCGTTCAGATGGTTCAGATATTTAGGACAGACAGTAGAAGAAAATTACCAAGTAGGAAACCATGTGGCAACTCGAAAAGAGTATTCACAGGGAGAATTTTCGCATGACTTCGTCAACAACGAAGAGAAACTAGTTATCATTTTGATGCAGATTCATTACCCTATTTTTGTATTTGCATAATTACTTATATATGCATGTTACCCCTCGTGGAAAAGCAACGGCAATACCACCAGAACTTTTCATCGAACTCTGTCGTGGGCAATCCATTTCAGTTTTTGCGGTTGCTGTTCCTTTATTTTAGGCCTTCTTTCCATTCCCGAAACAGTGTGTTCCTTGATCTTCCTCTACTTTTTTCTCCAGGTGTACAGGTCGAGGTCTATTTATCCAGAGTTTTCTGTTACACTAGTTTGATTCATCTATATTTGTTCGTGTTTATGGAATAAAAAAGCTAGATTACTCCTCGTGTCCAAGTCACCTAACTGCATAGAAGCTGTCCATTGTATTCCATGCATACCCTCAAATGTCGAAGTCTTCACAATCCAGTCAGTCACTAGAAAAAAGAGAAAGAAGAGTAGACAGCCTTTTCTGAACCCGGTCCTCACTCGGAATGCATCTGTTAGCTGTTCTCCATGCACGACTTTGCATTGTAGTTCGTCGTATGAATTTCCTATGACGCTGATTATTTTCTCAGGTACATCATAGTCTCGAAGAAGATTCCATAAAATTCTCCTATCCACAATGTCGAATGCTTTCTCAAAGTCAAAGAAGTTGATGTATAGTTACGAACTCAGTTCAGTTGATTGTTCAACGATGATTTGTGGTATTGAGACTTCGCCTGTGGACGACCGAGCCCTACAGAATCCGTCCTGTTGATCTTGAAGTTGGGCGTCTACGGAATCTTTTATCATGTTCCGAAATTCCCTGTCGAAAATGTATCGTGGTACTGAAAGTATTGTGATGTCTCTATATAGTTTTAACACTTGCTCAAATCTTCTTTCTTTGGTATGTTGATGAGGTGTCCTTCTTTTCAAACCATCGGCAATTGTTCTTCCTCACAAATCTTCTGGAATAGAAGGTGAAGCCTACTTGCAGTCACTTCTAGTTTGACTTCAAAGTTTCAGCCGGTATATTGTCAGGTTGTGCTGCTTTCCCATGCTTGATTTATCTGTCCAGCATGTGTCCAAATGGTTTCGCTGATTCCGAGCTCTTCCAAGTTGTACCTCGTCATTCCCGTCGCTATTTGACTGGTCTCTCCGATCTCGCACATTGGATGGACGTTCTATGTACCTACAAAATCGTTGCTCTGGTTGTTGAAGTGGCATCGCTCTTGTCAGGCCCTACTGATTTTCCATTCTTGATTTGTCTGATGACCAGTCAAGCTGATTTATTTGATCTTTAGTGGTGTGGCAACTGTAACGAGGTCTGTGTTTGCTGTCTCGATGTCCAGTGGATTCGATGCTGTTTGTCCTAACCACACAATCATCAAAGATGAACATGAGATAGTTGGGGAAATAGTTAATCAACATTTATCACGGAGAGAAATCCAACGATAGTGAACGGGGTAATATTGATGTATTCAATCGGAAGACATAGCTCAGCCTCGCAGACGTGGTTATTCTGCATAACTTGTCTTTTTTCGTATTAAGTATATCATCCTATCTTCAGTTTAAATGTGTTATTCAGAAGTATCATATCGTTAATTGTTACGACACGATGAGTCAGTGTGGACAATGGTATGACTTCCACGTCAGATCTCATAGATTAGGCAGTTACATCATGACGTATCTACAATTAGGATTGTCTTTTATTATAATATTAATTATAACGAACTATACCATAACTCTATAGACTCTCTGTAAATCTAGATGGTTGTACGAAAATAATTTGTTAAGGTATCTATAGAGTGCTCCAAACGCTTATATTAGTATATAAACCTAAGGACTAAAAGAAGAAATATTCCAGCACTATGGAAAGCAATAATGCTTCACCAATAGTATGGGACGACTATTGTAAAGCTTAAGTATTCTCAAACTATTTAAGTGATGTGTATACCATATAAACAAGCTCCCCGTCAGTCCACACAAACCCCTTCACACATTGGACAATGTAACCATTAAAGAACTCTATGCCTTCGATCTGCTAAATAAGATTTATGTAGGCAAATCCGCAGGACCCAATCAATCGCATCCTAAGTTAGTAAAGGAACTAGCTAATTTCCTTGCGAACCAACTAAGCATGTGTTTTAATCTATCCGTAACCCAGACTCGATTACCAAAAGACTAGAAAAATGGGTACGAAACATAAACCTGAGAATTACGGACATGTTAGCCTAACCAGTGTGGTTGTTATAATCTTAGAAAAAATCATTCGGAAGGAGCTGTTTAAGTACTTCGATGAAAACCGAATCCCTTCGGAGAGGTAGCATGTCTTTAGAATAGGTTATTCCTGTCTCACTAACTTGTAAGTGGCTCGTGTAAGCTGACGCCCCTCATTAGGACCAAAAGTTACCTGTAGACGTAGCCTACATTGACTTCAGCAAAGCATTTGACAAAGTTCCTCACAATTGACTGTTATATAAGTTAAGAAATGTCGGGGTTAGGAGCAATCTATTGATGTCGACAAAAGACTTTCTAGTTGGGCGAACTCCAAGTTGTCTAGTCAGGAAACTGTGCTTAATGGAGTGCCCCAGGGTACAGTTTCGGGGAGTGTCATTCCTTTTGTTTGCAAATTACCTTCCTCGCCTACGATCATCATTGGTCTTGCTATCTGCTGACTGTGTCAAAATATTGAGAGCGATACGAAGTAAGGGCAATGGCTTAGAAGTCTAACATGACCTGGATAAATTATCTGAATGGTCTCAAATCTGTCAGTTGCCGATTAATACTTCCAAGTGTATTGTGATGAATATTGGTCATCAAGGTGTCCTGACACACAAAGTCTTATAAACTATTATACACTACCGTGCAATAGCCGTCAAAGGCTTTAAAACTTTATGGTCAATACGTATGGCTTTAAGCTATGTCGACGTTAAAAACTTTTTGACTTCGTATACAGTGTTCGTTCGTCCTAAACTTGGGTACTGCATAAAAGTGGCTAGCCCCTACTTAAAAAAGGACGGTGAACCTCTGATAAAGATTCATAGAACAGAAACTAAACTGCTTTTTGGGATAGCGAAGCTACCATATGATGCTTGACTGGCTGAACTAAACTTATTCCCATCGTCAAATAGAACAACTAGTGGTGACTTGATTAGACTTTTCAAATTACTTAGCGATAAATTTGCACCTGGCACGCCATCAGTTTTTAGTTCTTCTGAGAATTAATGAGGACACAGACCATCTAGCCTCCTGTCATTTCCAAAATGAAACTGAAAATCACTTTTCCGTCATAATACTGATCAATCACGATTATCCACCAAGCCTACTTAAATAAACGTAGTTAAGCAAGTATCTTACCACACTAGATAGTTTTATATTTTAAGCACATCTTTGAAGGTAAACGTGATGGTAGTTTGCTATATATTATCAATATGATATTGATTTTGGGTGACGTTCAAACGTTTGACCTTGAAGTTTAGTGTGGATAGTTTGATTTTCATGTTATATGCACCTTGTGATGCTTTGTGGTTTACTTTTGTTAGAATACAGAAATCAAACTAGACTCGCCTGAAGATTCAGATGACGACTGTCATTTCTAGACACACGTCCACCATTTCCTTAGTTTCACAGAATTCTGTACAACTGGAGGCTGGGTTATTAGTTCAGTGCCTTAATCGCTACAAGGAATATCTTGAGTGCGGTTGTGAGAAGGTTTTGAACTCCAAATTTTCGAAAAAGGGAACAGGTATGTACTTTCAGAGCTCATAATATAAATTCTTAACCATTGTCACCTTTTGAATTTGAGGTCATGGTACTAACTAAAATCACTAGTATATGTTAGCATTAGATGCTAGTTTTCAAATCAAGTTCAGCTACATACGGATTTTAGAATCCGCATGTCTGTGGCTCTGAAAGTGACTTTTGCTAAGTACGGCATTGAAACAACCTAACTAACTTTCATGACTTATACAAATGTTCGTTAAGATTAAGACGAATAGTTTGACAGAAATTGGGCGCCCAGTATAGAGAGGTCATTGTACGTGAAAATTATAGTTATGATTGTTAAAAGCTATATATTTCTTTAATTTTGATTACCCTGAAGAAGTCCGGACAAGTTAGCTGGACGAAACGTTGGAATTATTTAAATTTCAATCGCTGAAATTATTTCAAGTATAGTTCTCACATATAATAACTTTCATGATGCCTATAATAAATTTCTTGTCTATCTGCTAGTCCTGAATTTATTATAGTTATCTACGATTTGTCCTAAAATTGATTGCGTTGTTAGACGATCGACTACATAATGTACATATAATATATAGTGGATAAAGCAACTGAATTACAACGGTCTGTGTTAAGCCTTTAACCATGTCAATTCTTGTGGTACTTAACATTTTCAAACTGGATACGATCTAATAGATTTAAAACACGTGAGATCACAATGAACAATCATTTTAGCTGACGTAAATTGGTCAGTGTTGCAACAAGCAAATTCAACTTCCGAGACAAGTCAAAACAGCGGGTGCTCAGGCTGTTGTATATGACTTAGCGGAACTAACTTGAAATAAATTATCCTTCCGAGTTATTTGGTGGCTTATTATGGCATTTCTTAGCATGTTTTAATCTTAGATGTTCTTTTGAATTCCTGCTCAATGTATCCACATAATCACTAAGAGGTTATATTGTCAATTTTAATGTTTCGGTACTGTCAAGATTCAAGTGCCTTGTTTACTAGCCTTTCTTGTTCATTTCGAGGTGAGAAAACAATCGGGCCATATAAATAATAGTTTATTATGTTGTTTCAACTGATCCACTTGTGAAAAGCCGAGAATGTGTTGTAAGTAGTCTGTACTATTAACCACTTTTATTACCGTGTTAATAGCTTACTCGCTACAAAAACACCTTTAGAAGTATTTGTTTGAGTTCAGACCTTCAGATATGTTCATACAGAACTAGTAGTCTTTTTATTAGTTCTAGATAATGAATTATCAGCATCTGAATGTTTAAGTTACGGTTCACTTGGTTGCAATGTACATCTGAACATATTCTGGAAATCCACCATAAAACTGTCATGTCTGCTCTAACACCGAGATGTTTTTCGACCTCATAGTCATAAACAGTTATTCTCAGTTTGCTATTGTATCGTTAAACCGTTTCTCTAAATTTTGAACGGTGGTTTTGTGGTTAAAGCGCTCAGTTTACAATCATTATACCATATTCTAGTCATAGTCCACGTGCCACTACTGGTATCAATAATCCTCACTAGATGTATCTCAAAATCTGAAATATTAACTTTTACTTTGTAAAGCAGTTAAATTAATACCTGTTTTGCGTAGATAGGACCGTACACGAAATTCATCAGCTCATACAGCCACTTAAATTGAAATGCAAACTATTGCACAATTTTTGCGTCCGAAATTTCTTTAGACCATACAACCAACATGCCAGAAGATTGAGATGTAAATTTATCTGGTAATTAAGTGAAAACAACAGCCTAAAATAGAAGATAAAACAGGTTAGGATGGAAATTTAAGGAGTGGCAGATGAATCTGGAGCTAGTCGTAAGTTTTCTTATGTGAACAATTACTACTACCTAATAATTATAGATTACATTTCCTAGTTATTTCAGCTGGTTTGGGTTAAAAACCTTTTCAGTTTACTTATTGTTCTTATCATCTGATGTTGATCGAATCCAGCAGAACGTTTCTTTACACAAAATGTTATTTAAGGACCCCTGTGGTCAAAAATTTTGACTTGTATTGTACTTCAGTAAACGCTGCAATAGTACGTCGTTATCACAACACTGTACTTTATATTGGCTGTTTTTACAAACAAGTTTCTTGTTACAATAGATAACGTGATGACAATTATAACAAACTGGATTACTTTTCAGTGGTTTATCCACTCGACTTGTAGCAGTTGAGGCACAGATTTAAACCTAACACAGCTGGATAGCATCACTGAGTTTCACATAAAACACATTTCTGCTAACCTCCATTCTCCATTCTTGTTTAACTTTGTCGTTGACTTGCTTTTAGAACTAACACTTTCCTTATCTAAATTTCCACGAGTTGAACTTCTACCGAGAGATTCACTTGTTAACTTAGAATATGCCGATAACATTCTATTTGGTGAAGACACTGACAAAATGCAGTTTTCTGACCACCGTGAGCAACAGCGCAAGCATGTTCGGGATGTGATTCTCCCCCTCGAAATGCAAAATATTGCTTCAGGGTTGGGTTGCATCGGCACCTGAACTAATGATAGGGAGTGAAGAAGTTGAGCATGTCGACCTTCTCACTTATCTTGGGAGTCTCATCTGCCTTTGTGGTCTGACGTGTCACGAAATGTCAGCACGGATTTATTTATTTATTTGAACACATAAATATTGGTACAGGGGGGCACCAAATATATATGCGCCACACAAAACAATGATAATTTGAAGAGGAGAAAAGAGAAAAAAAAGTAATGAACGTGAGGAATTATAAAAAAAAAAAGAGAGAGAACAATGGTGGGGGAAACGGAAAGGTACAATCAGAAGAGATCTTTCAGTTAAGGAAGATACAACCACTTTTTATGAAGAAAGTAAAAGAAGGTTACAACAGGATCGCCACTGGCTTGTATTCTGAGCCATATCTGATAACGTCTCTAGCCACTGTGTTACACCGTCTCTCGGACCCCAACCAGGGAGTCGTGAAGGACCAACAGAAGCTAGCCCTTTGCAGCTTTCTTTCATACCACGACATCATGTCATATACTGACCACCTCTCCGCTTTTTCCAACTAGTCCCAGAGTCGGCAAATAATGCACGACGAGGAATTCTCTGGAACGACATTCATAGAACATGTCCAAGCCACCGAAGTCGGTGTTTCAAGATGGTGATACCAATTGCATTATCGTTTCTGTGACCGAACACTCGATACCGAACCTCTGCATTACTGACATGGTGTTGCCACTGGATGCCAGCAATCCTTCGGAGACAACGATGATCGAACACAGAGAGTCGTCTAACATCCTCAACTCGGAGAGCCCAGGTTTCACAAGCATAGAGCAAAACTGCTCTCACCATCGCGTTGTAGATCCGACCTTTTACAGCTAGACTAACATCACGAAGGCGCCAAAGATGGTCCAGATTTACATAAGCCGCTCTGGCTTTCACTATACGTGCATTGATCTCGTCACTCACACCACCACCAGCACTTATGCAGCTACCTAGATACACGAACTTCTCGACTACTTCAATCTGCTCACCATCCTGAGTGAGTACAGGATTAGAATCCTGCCAGTCTTGTAGAAGAACTTTGCATTTCGAAGGTGCAAAGCACATACCATACCTACGGACATTGATTGCCAACTGATTAAGTGCGGATTGCACGGCTTGAACATTCTCGCACAGTAAGACAATATCATCCGCATACTCAAGGTCGAGAAGTCTTTCTCCAGGCAACAGATCCACACCACCATTACTTACATCCATCAGAGCTGTTTCCAGAATGTCATCGATGGCAAAGTTGAAGAGGAATGATGAGATTGGGCAACGTCAGCACGGATACATAAGGTTTAACTAGCTTCGCCAACTTGCATCATTTATGGCGTAGGTGAAACATCTGTCTTTATTTATTTATTTATTTTAACACATAGATATTGGTACAAGGAGGCACCAAATATATGTGTGCCACACAGATCTCATTTGATATGTGTGAGGGATGTGATGCTGTCCGGGTGCCCAAGTCGAAGCAGGTGGTTTTCTTAGGGGGCCACACCCCGAGCCTTCGACCTGAAGATCTGATCCACAAGGCAGTGGAGCATCGTAAGGAGATGCGATCCCATGGTAGCCGGTGACCAACGATTGGTTCATACGCCATTTGTTCCTTCAGGATACTGGAGCCCATGTTCACCATTGATTTGGGGTCCGGTTAAAGCGCCGGACATTCGCTTTTCGTCCTCTCATTTTCGTAAACAACACCCCCGCCACGAGAAGGCAGGGGTTTACTGCTCAGCGGTCCGTTCGTCCTACTTTATGGCAGTGACACATGGCCGGTAAGAGTGGAGGATATTCGTAGGTTACTAGTATTCGATCATAGATATCTTCGAAGCATTGCTCGTACATCCTAGGACCACTGAGTAACTAATTCAGTTGTTAGGAAACGGGCACTAGGTAAAGATAGCGTCAGTTAATGAAGTAATGAAACTTAATCAGTTGAGATGTCTGGGAAATGTGTCACGTATGCCCAACCACCGAATGCCCCGACGAGCGATATATTCTGGTGTACGAGCAGGTTAGAAGAAAGTTAGGGGCGGTCAGACCAAAACATGGCACAAATCCATGAAGTCACTGACAAGTGGACTGAGTCATGTTGTTAGGTGTAGACTACCTGGTTGGGATCCTCGAGACGACAGCAACCGATGGTGAGAGACCTTGAATGACATAGCTCGAAATCGTTTGCGATGACGTAGGTGCATCTACTCTGTGTTCTCTCAAATTCTTACCTCCTGAATTCTTAATGTCCCTTTTCTTCTTTAGTCAGTTTCTTAAAGGCAATCAGTCCTGTGTCACCTTTATATATATATATATATATATATATATATATATATATATATAATTACAGTTTTGTGGTTTTTTCTCCAGGTTCAAATGTTTTGAACAATCCAAATCCATCATTCGGAGATGACTCCACTGATACAGCATTGTCAAGCATTTCAGGCGGTACCGGTTTTGAAAATATCACATCTTCAGTTGTTCGTAGACTAGATGCTGGAGCACGCGAGAGTTTAGGTCAGCACTTAATTCAGTTGTTGGCCACTATTGTCTTACCCGATCCTCCTCAATCTATAAGCGAAGTAGATACTCGTTTAGTAGATGGTTTGCCAGGCATTCCGGATAAGTTAATGCCATCCGATAGCAATATGGAAAGTTACCGCAATTTAGCTGAAAAAGGACGCAAAAAGATGTTGAACTTACCGTTCGATAAAATATTTACTGCCTTAAAAGTATGTGTGCCTATATTTCTTTTTATTTGGTCCTATTAATTTCAATCTACAGTTTATATATATATATATATATATATATATATATATATATATATATATATATATATACCCTTGGATTCCAGCTGTAACGGATTTGATTGTATTCATCTTAAGTAATACAATATAAAGGAAAATATGAATCAAGAATAAATTAAACAACGACTCTGTTTATTAACTTTTAGGTTGTAATTCGTTTAGTCTAATTTCGTCATGCGTTTCTCGAACAGATGAAAAGCATGTGTAGTGTAAGACAATAGTATACAGATTTGGGTCACCACCGTTTACGAAGTCATACTATTGAAAGGATTGGCCAATTAACAACAACTAACCTCATACACCAAGTTACAGTTTGGGCGTAACTTAGTATTTGTTTCAACTTAGGTTCACAATCTCAATACCCGACTAACTCTACCTAGTTTCAATAATGCTCACCTAGTGACACTACAACATTCACATGCTTATATACCTGCACACATTTACTTTCGTAAACCTGTAAATTGCACTTCAAGCTTCTGATGCCTGTTTTTCTATCATAATTTAGCAGTATAAGGCCTGTGAATTTCGAGTATACTTGGCTCTCAATAACGATCCATATATCGTGTCTTTGATACAACTTACAGAGTTTTAAAAGCATACCGACTAGTGTTTGTGGTTTTCTTTATGATTGATTAACTGGGCAAAGAGATTCTAAAAGCATTTATCATAGTTTCGAATTGATCTTACAGCTATCTATAAGTTTATCTGTTTGGTTACTTGTTTTGTTTTCTATTGTTTATGCGCATGTATTGACATATGTTGATAATTCACGTGATTTGTATTTTTATATGTACATACATTTCATATTTAAACGTCTTATTACTGAAATCGCGTGATTGTTTAGACCCTAGAGAAGTGAAATTAAGAGGAGAGATGATATTTATGTAAATATTTTAATCTAATTAACTAACTACTAAACTTTGGCATTCGAATATTTATCTGTTACTCGCTATTTTATTTGTCATTGCCATCATTACGAACAACAATAATAATAGTAATAATTGCGACAATAATAATAATAATAGTAATGGTCCTAACTATTATCTAAAGTATGCTGTAAATAACTTTTTCTTTTAAGTATTCCATGCTTTCGTTTCCTGTTTATTTTTAGTCTTATAGAATTAGCCTGGTAATTGAGCTACTTAATTAATAACTATCGTTATGGTTCGACAGTTGTGTATGACTTTGGAGAGGAGTGGTAACCTCGGAACTCTTTAGCTTTAGACCAACTCAGAGATGATACTAAGGGACAAATGGTTTTCTATTTTGAAGTGTTGACATAGTAGTTAAAAAGCAGTCAACTTAAAACGAGGGAGCCTCAGACTGGGATCTCTCCTTATCTTGTTTGGTTTCGGAAACCTCATCATGTCTCTAGTCCTAACTCAAACAATATGATTTACAGACGAGTAAAGAAAATCAAATTTACCAAATCCTGAATTTGGTTTATTTCTTGATCTTAATGGTCACTATTATTTCTGTAGTTCGTGACTCAAAACACCAAATCTAAGAACTTGAAGTTTTTGTTTCAAAATATCAAATCGTAATAACACTAAGTGATAAATTATTTTGTCATAGCTATCTAAAATTGTATCCATAACATTTTAATAAAATAAAATGTTACTGGCATAATTCAGAGTTAACACACTATGTGGCGGAATATTTTAATATGGTATATCTCCCAGTTATCTATCTGTAAAACGAGGTTGAACTCAAAAACTAGTGTTATAAACAGAGTAATAATAGTGTTTAAGTAGTTTATATTGAATATCAAAGTTGCTGCTATTGATTATTATAGTGATAAAAGTTATTTAATCAATAATTTTGATTATTCCAATTTCATCTATACACAGGAATTCAGTGGACGTTTCAACTTTAATGTATGCATTTATATCGTTGCTATAGCTGAACATGTGATCGGAAATTTTTTGCAGGTAGATGATTCATTATATTAATTCATTATAATATTTATAATTTGTTGATACTGCTTCTCAATACAGACTCCATAACTGCTTAAAATTGTTCATTTTGTGCTAATACTATCTAGATATCTATTAATAATCAAGCCAACATTTTAGTCGCATAATAGAGTCTTCCAACTATATGGAGCTGTGGTTCACTCTCATAAAGATTCGGTTTCTAACCGATGGGTTGTGGTTCTACATTTCTTCTTTTGTCTGGACTGGGATAACCTGATATTATGTATCGTTATCCCTCACGAATTTAACTCAGCTTGTAGCATTGTACACATAAGTGTACACGTGGTTGCCTTTAGATATCTACACGTACGTTTGCTGAATATATGATTCCAGCCTCATAGCTATTTGTAAAGATTAAAATTTTTGGGTAGATTCATGTTTCTATCACATCTTCTTTCTAAATACATATGGTCCCTAAAGATTTTCTGCTAGTCAGTTTTATATAACCCAGGGTCTGTTATAAATATCTATCAGTTCCATGACCACACTTCACATCTGCACGACAACATAGAATCAACAGAATGGAAAACACAGTGATAACGCTAGTCGTACCGATAGTAAGGGGAAGAGTATATATACGAGTTGTAGTTTAAAACAAACCGATAATATTAAAAAATGATAAGTATTAAATAACACCAAGCACGAAAAATGAGGAATGAATACTTATGTCACTATAAGTGGTTTTGAGCCATGTCACCCAAGGTCTTCAAGAATCGATTACGGTTACCACGTGGACATAAACTAGGAGTCTACATTTTCGCACGTGAATCAGGCTTGTAAACTTTTAATTCACAATCCTGACTTTATTACTTCTAGCTTTCTTCCAACTTACTTTTATGCCAGCCTAGTATAGAGTATCGAAGTAGGCTGTGGCTGAGCACCATTAAACGTGTCCCATTTACCTCAATAATTATAGGTTCACTACCTTGTTTACGGATTTACCTAAAACCCTAAGTTTAATATCAGTAGCTCCACTATACACATGAAGTGCTTTGGATACCTTTGATAAAACATAAACAAACTAATGTTATTTTAAGAGAGTACTATTGCTCTGTTTATTCACTTTGGCAGACAGATATTTCTATTGGGCCTGAGGTACATTGAATATCATTTGTGGGTTTGCTGAAGTTATGTATCCTTTAGTCCGTATAAATGCTTCTTGTATTTTCATATTTCTGTTTTAGGCCGCTATTTGCTACGAAGATAAAGCTCTGACTGAAAATGTTATTCGTGCATCAACTGTCGAGGTGATTTGTGTATTGTTATTATTTAACATTATCGTCATTATAATTAGAGTTTTATACATGGGTAACTTTTAAAGTATCTTTTTCCTCATTTCTCCAGTACGTTAGTGCTAATCGAATTTTATTTATTTATATCCATAATCTGGTTTAACCGGCCTGCTATGTTCAAAATCATCGTCCACTTTCTTTTAAGATTATCAATTGGTCACAAGGAGAGAAATGTGATAAACCTAAGGATGTTTGTTCTCAAATGACAGTGTTTAATTGATGAATCGAATTACTTATGCTTTAATTGCAGAATTACAGGCTTGGTTAATTTCTACAGTATTATCGAGTCACTAGTTAAATTCATCAAACATTTTAGCTTCAGATGCCGCTTTCTTATTTTTATTCACCGTTTAACAATTTTTGTATCATACTTATGGTTGTCCCATTTATTTCTTCTTTCCCTCGTTACTTCATTTTACCTATCTATTTGGTTTTCTATGTGTGTATCTTCTCATTGGGTAACTAGATTATTCATTTTTTAAGAGAATACTTTGTGTTTTGAGAAAAATCAACTGGCATATATCCGAAATCAATTTTCAAACTTAAACTATACACGGAGAAGACGTTTGATTCCATAAAGACCACTTTTTTAGTGGTTAAACTTCAAAACTCATATAGTTCTTTGAACAACTGGAATTTTTATTATATAATCATAATTGGTATCAATTCCCAATAAACTCGTTCAATATATATTTATCTCAGCTTACCACCTAACTGTCGGTGACTGGGATGAAAAGTAATTCTAAATCGATCAAATCTGATTTCCTGTGATTTCCAGATGTTTAGTCAAATTAACGTGTTAGTTACTTACTTACGCCTGTTACTCCTCGCGAAGGAGCATAGGCCGCTCACCAGCACTCTCCATCCAACCCTGTCCTGGGCAATCCTTTCCAGTTCTTATTCGTCCCTTTCATATCCGCTCCTATTTCCCGACGTAATGTATACTTTGGCCTCCCACTTTTCCTCTTCTCTTCAGGATTCCAAGTTAGCGCTTGTCTCGTAATGCAGTTTGATGATTTCCTCAATGTATGTCCTATCCATTTCCATCGTCTTTCCCTAATTTCCTCTTCCGCTGGAAGCTGGTTGGTTCTCTCCCACAAAAGGCTGTTGCTGATGGTATCTGGCCAATGGATGTTGAGTATCTTGCGTAGACAGCTATCGATAAATACTTGTACCTTCTTGATGATGGTTGTTGTAGTTCTCCAAGTTTCAGCTCCGTACAGTAGAACTGCCTTGACGTTGGTATTGAAGATTCTGACTTTGATGTTGGTTGAAAGTTGTTTTGAGTTCCATATGTTCTTCAACTGAAGGAATGCTGTCCTTGCTTTGCCAATCCTAGCCTTTACGTCTGTATCTGAACCTCCTTGTTTATCGACGATGCTTCCCAGGTATGTGAAGGATTCCACATCTTCCAGAGTTTCGCCATCAAGAGTGATTTGACTGCTGTTCCCCGTGTTGTGTTTGAGGACCTTGGTTTTCCCTTTGTGTATGTTGAGGCCTACTGATGCAGAGACTGCTGCTATGCTGGCTGTCTTTATCTGCATTTGTTCGTGTGTATTGGATAAGAGGGCTAGGTCATCTGCGAGGTCCAGATCGTTTAATTGGTTCTGAGCTGTCTATTGTATGCCGTGTTTTCCCTCAGATGTCGAGGTCTTCATAATCCAGTCGACCACCAGAAGAAAGAGGAAGGGAGAGAATAGACAGCCTTGTCTTACTCCGGTCCTTACTTGGAATTCATCTGTCAGCTGTCCTACTTGCACTACTTTGCACTGTAGTCCATCGTGTGAGTTCCGGATAATATTGACATTCTTCTCAGGAACTCCTTAGTGTCGAGGAATTTTTCCTATCTACACTGTCAAATGCCTTTTCCATAATCAATGAAGTTGATGTACAGTGACGTGTTCCACTCAATTGATTGTTCGACGATGATCCGTAGTGTCGCAATCTGGTCTGTTCACAACCGATCCTTACGGAATCCAACTTGTTGATCTCGAAGTTGAGCGTCTGCAGCGTCTTTCACCCTGTTCAGTAACACTCTGTTAAAGACTTTTCCTGGTATTGACAGTAGTGTAATGCCTCTGTAGTTTTCACACTTGCTCAGGTCTCCTTTCTTTGGAATCTTGATGAGGTGTATTTCCTTTCAGTCCATCGGCACTTGTTCCTCCTCCCAAATCTTCTTGAATAGAAGATGAAGCATGTTTGTAGTTACGTCGATGTCTGACTTCAGTGCTTCAGCTGGTATATTGTCGGGTCCTGCTGCTTTCCCGCTCTTGATTTTTCTGATGGCCATTCTGATTTCTCCCGTTGTTGGTGAATCGACATCTATAGGAAGATCTGTGTGTGCTGCTTCTATGTCCGGTGGATTCATTGGAGCCGGCCTATTCAGGAGTTCCTCGAAGTACTCTGTCCATCTGTTCCGCTGATGTTGAATTTCAGTGATTGGTCGTCCTTCTTTGTCTTTGACTGGTCTCTCTGATTTACTATATTTCCCTGCAAGTTTCTTCGTTGTATCGTAAAGCTGTTTCGTATTTCCTTCTCTTACAGCTTTCTCCGCCGTCGTTGCTAATTCTTCCACGTATTTCTGCTTGTCGGCTCTAATGCTCTTCTTCACTTTCTTGTTTGCTTCTATGTACTCAGCTTGTGCTTGGACTTTCTCTGCTCGTGTTTGACTGTTGTTAATTGCTGTCTTCTTTTTCTTTCTTTCTTTGATCCTGTCCAGTGTTTCTATAGAGATCCATTGCTTGTGATGATGCTTCTTGAGGCCCAGAACCTCTTGACACGTTGAAGTTAATGCTTCTTTTATACCTTTCCAGTTATCCTCCATAGTAGTTTTTTCTTCCTTCAGTAGATCTTGTAGGGCTTGGAACCTGTTGTTGAGAGCTATCTTGAATTCATTGAGTTTGTCAGTATCTCGAAGGAAGGCTGTATTGAACCTTTGTGGTGCTGTTTGTCCAGTTGTCCAGTTCTTCTTTAGCTTCATTTTTAAATTGGCCACAACCAGCTGGTGATCTGAAGCTCCTCTCCTGGTTTTCACATCTTCCATTGTCCTTCGGAACATTTTATTGATGCAAATATGATCTATCTGATTTTCTGTGGTGTGGTCCAGTGAGATCCATGTAGCTTTGTGTATACGTTTGTGTGGAAATATTGTACCGCCTATGACCAATTTGTTGAATACACACAGATTCGCAAATCTTTCTCCGTTTTCGTTCCTCTCTCCCAGTCCATGTAGTTCCATGATGTCTTCATATCCGGTGTTGTTTATTCCGACTTTGACGTTTTATTCTCTCATCAGGATGGTGAGATCCTTTCTTGTGCAATTCGCTTTGATTGACTGCAGCCTCTCATAGGACTGATCTTTATTGTCGTCGTTCCTATCACTGGTGGGTGAATAACATTGGATAATGTTCATTGTGATCCCCTTCTTCTTTGTTTTGAATGATGCTTTGATGATTCTGGATCCTTGAGATTCCCATCCTATAAGTGCATTTCGTGCTACTTTGGACAGCATTAGAGCAACTCCCTGAGTGTGTGGGGCATTTTCCTCTTCGTGACCGAAGTATAGCAGCATCTCTCCCGTATTTAGCCTTTGTTGTCCAACTTGGGTCCAATTGGTTTCGCTGATTCCCAGTAGTGCCAAGTTGTATCTCGTCATTTCTGGTGCTATTTGACTGGTCTTCCCGGTCTCCCGCATTGTCCAGATGTTCCATGTACCTATAAAAATTGTTGATCTGGTTGTTAGAAGGGGCATCGGCCTCGTGGCTTCCGAAGGAACTCGGCTTTCACCATGAGGCGTCATATTTCTTCTAAATGAAGACCTTCTAACTCCCAGGACAGAGTTTAAATGGTTTGAATTATTTTTTTTGGTTAGCGTAGTTTTAGCGAGTTAGTTTTCTACGGAATGGGGTTGCTAACCCCATTCCCGACCATCCTCCTTTACCGGGGCTTGGGACCGGCAGTAACTATAGGAGAGCTACAGGCGGAGTTAACGTGTTAGTTATTATGTACTTATTATGCAGTCTAGTCAGACATATGATTTGCTACTCCTTAATAAGGTGTAGTATTGAAACAAATAGAAGTATGCTGCTATTTTAATTTTCATATAACCTTACGATTTATATGGCTTTCAGTTCAATCGTAATCTGATCGAGTTTAACTGAATTAAAATAGTTTTTTTTCTAAAAAAATTCAGTGTACTAATTTAACATAGTATCTTATTGTTATAAGCTATGATGATTGCATAAAAACTAACAATATCATTTGGTCACAGTAACAAATTATTGTGGGGAACTGTTTTTAAATTACAATCTAATACAACAAATCATGGTCATCTACCAACGTTATATGTATGTCTTAAAATGTAAACAACGTTATTTTTTCTCAACAAATAACTGAACTCATAATTTATTAATATTAACTACTCTTTGGTTTACTTGTAGGATGATTTAGTTTTATCCATACCTACGCTCGTTGTTGTTTTGAAATTTCAGACTTTGGTCCAATCTATTTAGTCGTATGTGGTTTTTAGATCATGCAGGGATGTACTTTTGTTTAATTTAAATTCATCCGAGTAATAGCCCAATTTTCTATTGATTCATCTCTGTTCGGTTATGTAGTGTTTATTTCGGACATCTGAATGTTCCTTTGAATCAATTGCATTAAAATTTATTTTTGTAAATAAACCACGCAACTATGAATATCATACAACCTATCTACCTATTTACTGTAAACGAGTTATTTTTATAAACTACGTAGTGCGTATTTTTTTTCACAAACAAAACAAATTCATCTTCAACACTATTAATAGTTAGATTTTTTCTTTGAAAGCATAGTACTCTGGTTTTTAATTACATTTGATAAAATTACTAACTTCAATTACACTCTTATAATTAAAACACTTCACATTAACCAGAAATACTTCAGATGTCCAATAAAGCTAGAAAAATGCATCAAAGTACTTTAACCTAATTAGTGCCTTGAGTAAATTTTTAGTAAAATTTAAAAACTGTTGTATTTATGTTCTTTCATAACCTAATCAATAGAAATCTAAATTATCTGGTTAGCGTTTTTTTGGCGAGTTAGTTTTCTACGGGATGGGGTCGCTAACCCCATGCCCAACCCTCCTCCTTTATCCGGGCTTGCGACCGGCAGTAGCCCCCCGAAAGGGACTCCAGGCGGAGTTAAATGATCACTTATTTTAACCTTTTTTTTAACGAAACTGTGTATCAAAGACATTGTTAATTGTAAAGTATAACATTTTATTTGTGTAAGTGTCTTAGATTTGAAAGTAAAACTTGTATTACATTTCAACTTTCTGATTTTGTTAAAGTCCAAGGGTTTCTATTTTACTGAAACTTGACTAGTTAAAATGTATTGGGCATAAGCGTTTTGTGTACTCAAGTTAGCACAATTTTAAGAGTGTGTTCGTTTACTAATTCATACCTTATTTGGTAATTCATTACAGAACGTGATACAGTAATGTATTATTCATGCCTTATTATTATTATTATTTATTTATTTTAACACATAAGTATAGGTACAGGGAAGCACCAAGTACATATGCGCCACACGAATTTCAATTGATTTGTGTGACGGCTGTGATACTGTTCGGGTGCCCAAACCGAAGCAGGTGGTTTTCTTAGGGGGCCACACCCCGAGCCTTCGACCTGAACGTCTGACCCACAAGGCAGTGGAGCATCGTGAGGAGATGCAGTCCCATGGTAGCCGGTGACCAACGATTGGTTCATACGCCATTTGTTCCTTCAGGATACTGGAGCCCATGTGCACCATTGGTTTGGGGTCCGGTTAAAGCGCCGGACATTCGCTTTTCGTCCTCTCATTTTCGTAAACAACACCCCCGCCACGTGAAGACAGTGAGTAGGACTTCCCTGGCAGGGGCTATATACGCATGGCCATGTGAGAGCATTTCGAGAGGGAGAGCGGACTCTCCCCACTCTCGGCCGTACCAGGGCATTTGGGGGCATTCATGCCTTAGATACCTGAGCAATTTTATTCAAGAGTTTATAAATTAAATTATGTACAAATTTAAGGTATTTGTGTGTGTTTCACGTTTGTTAAATATATTTACCCATTACGCAATAAAGACAACATATAAAGGTTTGATTATTTTACAGAATGAAGGTGGTCCGATGAGGGAATGATGTCGCAATAAATAACTTTTAGTTGCTTTAAAATCATTTTTCTGCGAACATGAATTTAGTTATATATTGTATATAACTCCTCTGCATTTCGACTGTATAACATTTAAAACTATCTTAATCTGTGTCTGAATAATGAAAAAGATATATATCTTTAAATATCCACTAAATTATTACATGTAGATTTGAGTCTAAGATAATTCAGAAGCGAAATTTAAGTTGTTATTACTTTGTTCTTTGAACTGAGTCTGAGAATGGCTCCTTAGAAGACTATTTCTAGCATAAGTTGATGAGATTTAAAAAAAATGCAATAATTCCCAATAAATTAAAACATTAATTTATTACTATTTTTCATTTTTTGTAATTTAGAAATTGTTTATCTTGTATCGAGATCGTGTTAAACCGCGTCGTAAAATGTTTGAACATCGTTTAGCAACAGCTAATCTTTTTCCTCAAGACTATGATAAGTAAGTCGAATTGGAATCATTTTTATTTATTATATTATTTTCTTATTTGCTTTCTGAAATGTAACAGAAGTAGAGTTTAATGTCTATATTTTATTCAGTTTATCCTTTTGGTTGTCATTGATGATTGATTACCACTTCTGCTTGACATGTATGCGTTGATAATGTTTTCCACATCAATAACAATGAAAGTTTCTTGATTAAACTACTAAGCTCACAGAATAATATATAAACGAAGGCACTTACTTGATTTTCATTATTTTATTCTACTCTATGGATAGGTTATTGATACACTTATATTTTAGCCTCATTTAGGAGTCGGATTGATATTGACGGTGATTTTTACCACAATTTGGTCTTAGTTAAAAAGGATCATTAAAAGGCAATTTGTAGAGATCTGTCTCAATATCGAGTATGTTAAGATCAGTTTGGATTTGACGAAAAATAGTTACTTAGTTTTACCCATTGTATGTGCAATAAATAATAACAAATAAATTGATGCATTCATCAAGCACTTAGGTTTAGGCTACAAATATAAGAGCTAGTGATATTACCCACTTTCCAAACCAAAGTAGGTAGAGAGAGGTTTTGAACTTAGGACTTAGTGTCTGAAAGCCAAAATGAATGTTTGTTCATTGAAGTCGTTCATAAGTTAAACATATGCTGTACCCATTAGGAGTTATTAAATACTCAAATACAATTTCTGATAAACTGTTGAAGTTCTTTTTGATGCTCAATCAAAAACTAGAATGAACCTATTTCTCATTTAAATTTTCATATTAGCGGTTTCGGCACTCCACTTCCAAGCTACAGGTTCTAAGTTCGAACTCTCACTCTAATTATTACAGTTTGAACACCCAGGTAGCGCCATTACCCTCGTGTACATAAATCTGTACTTGGTAAACTAGTTATAGCCTTGCTATCATTTCTTTCTGTCAGTTCATCTCATTGTCTTAGTTTTGTTTATTTTCTCTTTGTATTTTTTACTTCCCGAATAAGATCTAGCAATTATTCCATGAATTTATTGGTTTTTGAACTAAGTTGTATAAGTAGATCCAAACTATCTGATTGGAAGTTCGTGCAATTTTCATCACGAGCGTTTGAAGACGTTAGGTAATATAGTTTAGAATAGGTCGCAATGTAATAGATGCACTCACTATTTGTCTTGAAATACCTAGTCTTTTATTTTATGGATTCACTCTTTCTGTTTGAATCATATTTTCTATGCTTAGTGTTTTCGACTACCACGGACATTAATACTCATTGTTTCTATCTACCACTACTACGTCATTTGTCTTCATAGTCTCATCTTGTTATGCTTATGTTGTATGGCAACTTGAATTGATTCATATATGCACTAAGTTCTATTTTTTGTACAACTAAGTGTTTGTCTGTTTATTTATGATTATTATCTGAAATAGTTTGATTTAATGAAATATCGGTCCAAGTTCTTTTCTATTCCGCTGATTGGTTGATTGAAAACCATTTAAATTTTTTGAAGATTACAACTTGTATTATTTATTTATTTCTTTAGTTAGTTACATCTTTTTGGGTTTTGTCAATTATGAACTGAATACTTTAATAAAAATGAATGTTTATTTAATTTAAAATTATTATCATTATTATTTATAAAATGTTTTTTTGACCACTATTATTATTTGTTATATCTACACACACGTTCGAACGAAGTGTACCATAATGATGTAGTGTCATTATCGCCGTTATTAACTCATCGATAACACAAATTATTCAATACATACTAATAAAAACGTAATAAGTTCCATGTCATTTTGATTAGTTCAACGTATTTAATCTGTTGTCGTAGTTGCTTCACTGATACTACTACTACTATTGACGATGATGATGATGATGATGATGATAACTTGGCAGTTAATATTAACACCAGAGGTAAATTTTAGTGCATATATATTTGTTGGTTTGTAGTGGCTTTGCTTCGTTTATCAGTTACCTCGGTAAGCGTTATAATATAAATCTCAACGGTGTCTGAAATCAGAAGGCAACGAGAAGCGGCCACTACGGTTTATTAGCAGATAACTCAGACGACAAATCTATGAGCACATCAAGCGAATTTGAAGCGGATTGGCGAATATATGTGTGTGGACAAATACACAGGCAAATTTCTAGTCAAATCGCATGAGGGCACAGAAAGGTAAAGCAAAGGCTAATAATGGGATTTGAGTACCCATATACATGGAGTGGAGGATGAATGATCGAGTAATATTTAGGTGATCAACACTTTAGCTCGAGTCTCATGTGATTTAGTGATCATAACAGTACGGAGAAATAGATGAATTGTTATTATTCTATTATAACATTGTCTGTTAAGTGTGTTAATAAAAGGGCTTAACCAAGATTAATCATAATCGAAATTGATTGTAGGATAGTTGCTATAGTTTCTATACTGAAATGAAAGTGTTTTAGTCACAAAAAGGCCATCTACTGTTAACTGATAAATGAAATTAACAGTTGTAAGTGGATGGGTCATTATTTGCTTTATCAGTTCTCTTTTATTATGTGATATACATTTTGGCAGAATATTTGTATATAAACGACTGTTTTAGCTGTTTGTTGTATTCGGTCGATTGGTCATTCGTTCTATCTTATAAAGTCATATCTGTTTTGAAATTCGCTCCAGTCGATAACCAGAAAGCATTTGACAGTTGTTTTTCCTCTTTAAGAGATTCTTCAACAGCGCCCATCCACAATCCGTCTGGTGACTGGACATAGGATCTTCAAGTCTTGGTACTGGCCTTGCGTATCCGGGCGAACCGTATCTGATGAGAGGCATTTATCAACCGACAACATGAGAAGATACTTGCTCAATATTATGAATTGATTGAGGTTAGAAATTGGATGTTAGCTTAGCGACCTTTACGTTAATTGCTTATTGCTAGATCTAAGGACCTTGAGTTCTATCCACGGTGGGATCATGAATGTACACTGTTGAGGAGCTCCGTATTAGAGCGTAGCAACTGTTCAGTCCTTCCTGATTGTCAATGGTCAGTTTGTAATGTAAGCCATAGGGTTCAACAATCTCTACAAGTTTCCGGACTATTGTTGTATACTTTATTGATTACATACTGCTCATTTTCTTTAAAAAAAAAACAATATGGGTCTAATACATTGGATGCAGATCAACATTATCTGGTTGTCCAAACAGATTCAACGGATTTGCAGTCAGATTTGTGAAACGATGTTTGCTAATCAAATATTTAAATGTTTCGGTTAAAGCTTGTTATAGACAAGTTGGACATGTCATTACAAATGGTGTTCATCGTTTACATCAAGATATGAGTTACATCATTTAAACAATTGTATATTCGTACGAGCTTTATGAACTTTGCATTTTAAATAATGAGGAAGGTTGTATGGATCGCAAAAACTTAACATTTTAAATGTGTATAATGCACCAGCGTTTAAATTATGCAGCTGTTGTTGCAAATAGTTTCTTTCTTTTTATCAGAAGTCAGCTGTTTAAAATAATAAGCTAAGTACCTGTTGTTTAAATTAAACTTAGGATTTCCATGTTTCAGGATCAAATAACAGCGTACTAGCAGAGAATCTAATTAAGTTAATTAGTCTGTACATTTTCTCCTACACTGTGCACATAAATCATATATTTCCTGTTCTCAAATAGAGGCTGATGGCTTAAATATTAAAGCAGTCAACTGTTAACTATAAACTACTCAATCTACAATTTGCACATTTGGATAATATTATTAACTCAAAAAGTGTAACTCCTGAAGTGGATAATTAATTATTGATATATTGGATTCAATGAACATTTGTAAACAAAATATTTCCATACGTTGCTTTGAACAATTGTTATACATGTTTTGTCTTACTCTTCATTTAAATAATCTAACAGTTTCATGTGTATACATCATAAACCTTCATATATGACAAAATAAAGGGTTTCAATTTGTTCTCATTTGCTAATTAATTATTAAATTTAAACTTGGAATTGTTAAAATATCTCTTTAGCCATATGCTTTTTTATAAAACTAATTCAGTTGGTAATTAATTGTTTTAGTTAATTGTTCTTTCGTGATTACATCATTATTCGTTCATTTTCAGAAATAAGTATAAAACATCAAATCTCTTAGTTTATTTATTATAAGGTTCTGTTCTGCTTAGATTAATTATTTTATAAAACAAACTTTTTATGATATAAAGACTAAATCAGTATTGAGGTATTTCATTTTTCAACTTTAAAGTTGCTTTTTCAAATTCACCTTTTATTGTAATGACTGTGTAATACAGTTCGTTCTCACGAAAAGGTTTAATGTAAAAGCTATTTGATGAGAAAGTTTAGTGATTACTGAGCTTTTTTTTTCAACACACTATTCTAACGGAGCCAATATTTGATAAAGTAATTTTTGGAACTATCTGATGAAAAATTATTGTTTATATATTTATTATGCCGTTATTAAACATTTGTATTATTATATCATTATATTGTCAGTTTTACCTTTCCTTCAAGTTATTGTTAGTTAATTATAAACCAACTATTTAGTTCAGTTACATTTGCAGCTAATTTGTTACGGATGTTGTAATTTCCAATTTATGTTGTTGTGTTGTGGTCAAGAAATTACGCCACATTCTTTGAGTTATATAATCAACTACCTAACAATAAGCTTTTTAACGTCTTCTGATTATACTTTGTGTTGGAACAAGCTTGAAGTGAAGACCAGTAGCCGCCAACATTTCAGTCGTTATTTATTTGATTAGTGCGTTATTAGTACATTAGGTTATCGGTCTTACATGCGAAATAAGTGAACCTGATAATTATCTCTTGCTACAATAAATAACGTAATCACACTCAGGGACAAAATTAAGTAATACAAAATCGGTTTATTTTTTCGAGGTTATAGCACACACGTCTTTAGACTATTTTGATACATCGCTTTCTATTTCCGTGGTTTGTAACAGACATAACTGGATTTTATACAGAAATATAGAATAAAACCGTGTATATGCACCTTCGTTATATCCATAAATATATGAATATCTTTTATTATTTGTTTAATGATTTTTAAATTTCCTTTTTTTTCAGGTGTGTTGATGAATTATGTAGTTTTCTTCATACTTGCTTAGAACAAATGAATTTATTGATACGGGTATTTCGTGAACCGATATTATCAGTGAATCCATCGTCATCATCATCTTATGAACAACAAGCAACAACGTGTACACATATCAATGAAGATAATACACAAGTATTATTTGGTAACATATTAGATGTGTATAATAATATGCGTATTTTACTGGATACTATTGAAGCAGAAGATGAAGATAATTATTCACCAAATATTGTAAAATCTAAAAATAGTTGTACATTGTTAACATCATCAACAACGCCGTCATCGGGAATGTTTAATATTGTTAAACCCCTGAATACTTCTAATAATAGTACCTTTATAACTAATGGAAATGATAAAACAACTTTAATGGATTCATTGTCTGAAACACTTACTACACTTGAATCAATACCAGAAAAACAATTCTCTAGTGATGATGATAGAAATGAAATGATAAACAATATCAAACACAATAACGAGTGCACTAATGGAAAAATCAGTAATAATAATTCATCAGGATCGACATTTCATTCACCTACTTCAACTGATCATACATTCTCAAATGATGATCATGACGATCGTTATCCTCACCATAATAAACCAGATTCATCGATTCACAATCATGATAATAGTGGTAGTGTTAGTAGTAATAATAATAATAAGAATAAAACTTATCCTAGACGTCTAGTTGGTATTTGTTTAATTGAATTGGCTGAAGATGATTCATTGCATGCATTCAGTCGATATGCTAATATTGTACTAGATTCTAACTCAAGAGATCGTGTTTGGAATTTAATTGAACATGAAAGTTATGCACAGGAATTATGTCAATTAAGTCGAACTATTGTGCATACAGCTTCGTTGAATAATAAAGTAAGTTTGTTTTGCGTTTTATTAAAAAGGTGTTGATTTACATACAATGTGTGTGTGAGAGTAAAATCAGTCAGTCAACGTTAAACCTGGCAAAAAAGGGCGAAACGTAACAAAACTGAATTCAAAGATATTAAAATGGTTGTATAAGTTACGGTGGAAATTAAGATCATAAAGCTCAGGAAGAATAAGTAAGGATACCGCATCTGCGTAGATGGTGGCAGAGAGTGGATAACACATGCCACATCAACCTTAGTTTATAAGTTTTATTCACTCGGTGGTTTCATCTTATAGGAGAAATAATTTGAAGAAATTTATGGTGAGATATTAACAACCTGCACATACCCTGAATTTTGGAGACTGTTTCACAGCCGTACGAAATACAAAGAGTAATGTTGCGCAGTATACTCTTTCTTTGCTTGACAAGTAGATGTTTGGCTTGCACTGTATGTGAAGCTTACAAAATTGAAACCAACTTGTTACGTCCTTGATCTGTCTATCGACTACCATCCAGAGAATAAATTGTCTAAATCTAGAGTAAGACCTTAACGCGATAGGCTGACTGGCTTAACCTTGAGGTTAGTATGTGTGAGTTCGAAGTGAGACTAACTGCTTGGGATCGAAAGATGAAAACTATCACCTGATTGTCTGACAAGCACGAGAAAGATAGAAGTCAGCCGGAACATCACTCGATTTATTATCAACTCCGATCTGGTTCCTGGTTCACTTTAATGTAAAATGATGCATTAATAAATAGATGACTAACCATACCACAACGTACAACAATTAGGAAAACACAATTACGTCCAAAAACTGAGGATAAGGTCAGAAAATAGATTACAAAAGATGATGTTTAATTTACAATAGCTTTGAACAGAAAAGGCTATGGCAGTGAATCATACATCAAACGGAAGCTTATGCTCGATAAAATAAACTAAGGACAAAAATAAATGTTACTGTTTTACGCGCTTTGAATTAAATGAAATAACGTCACCAAAAATAGCTTACGTAGTTTGTCAAGGCTTTTTGTTTCTTTGTTCACATCGACAGCATTTTCGGTTTGTTGGATTTTTATCTCACTGGTTGAAATCATGAATCAATTGAAACTAGACCACCATGGAAAACCTGGAAGAACTGGAAGGCCGTTTCGTCCTAGTATGGGACTCCTCAGCAGTGCGCATCCACGACCCCGCTCCTCGCGAGATTCCAACCCAGGACCTATCAGTCTCGCGCCAGGCGCTTAACCAACTAGACCACTGAGCCTACAAGGCTCTTGGCTGCGACAAAGGATTGAGCTATGCTATCCGGGTTGTAATGGACGTGGATGATGTCTGGTTCTCATGATAATCAATGTTAAATAACCCTGTTGTAGAGTGTATTTATAAATATTAATAATGCGGAGGCGCCGGCTTAGTGGTTAAGGCATCCTACTTTCAGTTATTAGATTCTAGGTTCTAAACCTTCTCTATCTAATTTGACTTAAGCAACCGGTTAGTATCACTAGCCCTCACATTTAAAGTTTGGCTAAAAGCTAGGTACGTGAATCTGCACTTGATAAATGAGTTGACAAGACTTTTAACATCAGTTCAGACCCTTAAGTTAAAGGTTCAGTATTCTGTCCTGTTTACCATTTGAACTTTGAAGTCTTATCTATAGGTACACATTTCTAACCAGCATGAACTGGCTGAATCTTTCTTTGAACATCAGAATATTTCCCGTACTATTGGATTAACTATATTACTTGTTCAAGTGTATTCATAGGACATTTTCTAATTGATAAAAGTTCAGACTTAACCAACTGTTTCATTGAGAATAAATTCTGTTTTGTTTGACAAACATTAATATATAGAATTCTAACATATCTATCATATACACCAAGACATAAATTTGTAAGAAATATCATTAAATACATCCATTTTAAAATAAATAATTTAAGTATTATTCAAAACTACAGTGAGTAATGTGTTTGCTAAAGGCAAATAAACACAGAGATGAAAACCATCTCAATTATTTAGGTTTATTTCCAACAGTTTAGGAAACTTAATAGTTTCACTTTAAATAGTTAATTAATTATAATATGATTTCTCATACTTATATCTATAGAAAAGATTGTTTTAATCCGTTTCTTTTTTAGTACCCTGGATATAATTTTTTTTCATCTTCAACAACAGCAACAACAACACCAGTGACTGACTTTCATTCATTTACATGTTTGCATTGTCAGCACTGGGATACAGTTGTTACTAAACCGCGTAGAAGATCCACTTCAACAACTGTTACCCCTTTAAACAATGACAATAATTCATTCAATGTACATAATAATAAAAATACTATGTCCACTTCAGTAGATTCAGCAGATAAATTTGATTTGACATCGAAAATGTCATTAAATCGTCATCACCATCGTTCACCTCATTTATTGGGAATGAATACCACATCTTATGCAATTAATTGTAATTATTTAATAAATGCTACAAGATATTTACTTCCACGAATAATTCTACTGCCTATATTTCATTTTTTTTATTTTCATGAATTAATCGAGGTAAGATAAAGAGAATAAAATTTATGAATATATATATATATATATATATATATATATATATATATATATATAAGCAGCTGATGAGAAAACATGAAATATGAATTCAGACCATTGTTTTGTCTTTGTTCACATAAGTAATGGGAACCAGTTGTATGGAATTTTGTACGATAATCTTATCGATAACCCTCAATTACATTCAAGAAACTAACCTTGAAAGCATAGCTTTCGTTGTATATCCACTCCTTTTGATTTAGTCGAGTGTTCTAGATTTGTAGATCTGTCAAATTACACGAAATGTTATTAGTGGTTTTGCTTCGTTAATCAGTTACCTCGGTAAGCGTTATAATATAAATCTCAACGGTGTCTGAAATCAGAAGGCAACGAGAAGCGGCCACTACGGTTTATTAGCAGATAACTCAGACGACAAAGCTATGAGCACATCAAGCGAATTTGAAGCGGATTGGCGAATATATGTGTGTGGACAAATACACAGGCAAATTTCTAGTCAAATCGCATGAGGGCACAGAAAGGTAAAGCAAAGGCTAATAATGGGATTTGAGTACCCATATACATGGAGTGGAGGATGAATGATCGAGTAATATTTAGGTGATCAACACTTTAGCTCGAGTCTCATGTGATTTAGTGATCATAACAGTACGGAGAAATAGATGAATTGTTATTATTCTATTATAACATTGTCTGTTAAGTGTGTTAATAAAAGGGCTTAACCAAGATTAATCATAATCGAAATTGATTGTAGGACAGTTACTATTGTGTTTAAATATCAATAGCACAGACTTTGATTGTACCAAAATCAACGCGTTAAACACTAAATTTCGTGAGCTCGAATTTGAAATAATCAATGAATAGATGGTTTTAATAGTATCAAAGTGACTAGAATTTTTGTACGATACTCGCAATGTGTTTTTAATCTAACAATAACATGTGATTAGAAATACTTTTACCTAAGTAGACGAATCCAATGAAAGGAGATCCTCATTCGAATCGCTATTTCCCAAATTAGTAATCAATAATTCATTGTTTAGTTTTATTGAGATCACTTGCCGATAAAGATTAAGAACCTGGAAGCACTGGAAGATTGTGGCGTTTTTGTATAGGGCTCCTCAGCAGTGCGCACTCACGACCTCTCTACAGCGAGTCGAAATCAGGAGCCTCAGCGTCCTGTGCCAACACACTTTCCTCTGAGTTACCAAACTGGGATCTAATAGTTAACAACCTTAACTTGAATTAACGCGCAACATCGCACGACCATCTTCCATTGTTTTTGGTTCTTGATCTCAATAACAGTCTCTACAACTTTCATCCTAACTGATTATCATTAGATTTTATTTTTAAAACTGAAATGACTTTCAACCAATGTTTTGCGTTATCTTTTCTCAGACGTTGCATCGGTGTGCTTATGATGAAGTTGATCGGGCACGTTTAGAAGATGTGCTTAGTATGTTGAGAAAGACAAGGGCAACACTAGAACGAGATTTAGCTAAACATCCTTGGGTTGCTTTGCATTTGGTACGATTGATATCAACTGGTCAGTTGACTGACCGTTATCGTTCATTATACTTGAATGCTGTTTCTGGTGCTTCTTGTCCACCAAGTCCTGTGAATTATACGGCTCCACCATCTCCTGTTAGTCTTTCAAATCAAATTGGGAGTCACGTCTCATGTGCTTCCATGTTCAGCACAAATTGTAATGCTTCGTCTAGTAATATATTCAATTATCATAATACTCATCATTCTACGCCAACAACAGCGATAACGACAACACCAGTATCGATTAATTCTACTGATCTATCATTTACATATAGCAATACTGTTCAAAATAAAGCCGAGGAAATTGAAAAACTCTTAAGTAGTAAGGATAAGTTAATTATGTCAAGTAATTATATTAACACACTTGGTGATTTTGTGATGGGTAAGTAGTTTAATTTCAAATGGTATATTCTGTTATATTTCTTCCAGTATGACTGAATTCTCATTTTTCACATTCATTCTACAAAATTATATTCTTAACATTACGGATTTACCTAGGTGAGATAACCATTGAAAACTAAAATGCACTAAACATCTGTTTCGTCATCATAAGTGACTTTTCAGCAGCGCTTATGCATGACTCCACTAGGGATGAGACTCACGACTTTCAGGGCTCGTGGGGACGCTTAAGTTTCGGACCATTAATTTTGCGTTATTACCGAGGTTTGGTTTGATAATTTCAAGTGAGATAAACTTGAGGTGAACTGCTTGTAATGGTGAAATGTATTTCCGTAATATCCTATTGAGTTCAAAATTGAATCTTCGACGTTTTGTGACTTCTAGTAAGTCACCTTTACGGAGTAAATAAATGGGTAACCGGATTAAAATTATCGCAAGTTTAAACAATACAGAGAAACCATTGTTTTGTTATATTAAATATATTTTGATCTGTTCCTCTGCGCCATTTAATCTGATGGTAAACTTTATTCGGTTACTTTTTCATTTCAATTTTTTACTTTATTGATATATAAAGATATGTTATTTTCTTCTATATACCACTTGGTCAACGTCTAATGGTTTAGAATTTAGTTTTCAATGCTGGAACTACACGATCCTTCACCATCAGTGATACCTATTTATCATTTAGCATAGTTGGACTCCACTGGTCACAACTTAATAGGATTCTGGGATTTTTCCTTCATTGTTAATAAGCGGATGATTATTGTTAGCATGAGATTAATTACTTGTTTGAGTTGTGCCTATTTTTAACAGCTGCACCAGTGTAATTGTAATATGTTTCTCATATATAGTCAAATACATAACATTATTTACACTATTGCTTACTTACACCTGTTATCCCTCATGTAGGAGCACAGGCCGATCACCAGCATTCTCCATCCAACTCTGTCCTGGAAAATCCTTTCCAGTTGCCATTTATTGTTTTCATGTCTACTTCCAATTTCCGACGCAGTGTATTCTTTGGCCTTCCTCTTTTTCGTTTCATTTCAGGATTCCAAGTTAGCGCTTTCCTCGTGACGCGGTTTAATAATTTCTTCCATGTTTGTCCTGTCCACTTGCAACATCTTTTCTTAATTTGGTCTTCAGCTGGTAGTTGGTTTGTCCTCTCCCACAGTAAGCTTTTGCTGATGGTGTGTGACCAACGGACATTGTGTACCTTGTGTAGACAATTGTGTATAAATTCCTGTAGCTTTTTTTGGTGGTTGTGGTAATTCTCCACGTTTCAGCTCTGTACTGTAGGACTGTCTTGACTTCCATATTGAAGATTCTGACTTTGATGTTAGTTGATAGATAGTTGTTTTGAGTTTTGTGCGTTCTGCAACTTTAAGAATGTTTTCCTTGCTTTGCCAATCCTTACCTTTACGTCTGCATCCTATCCTCCTCGTTCATTGGTGTTACTGCTGAACGGATTATTTATTTATTTATTTGAACACATAAATATTGGTACAGGGGGGCACCAAATATATATGCGCCACACAAAACAATGATAATTTGAAGAGGAGAAAAGAGAAAAAAAGTAATGAACGTGAGGAATTATAAAAAAAAAGAGAGAGAACAATGGTGGGGGAAACGGAAAGGTACAATCAGAAGAGATCTTTCAGTTAAGGAAGATACAACCACTTTTTATGAAGAAAGTAAAAGAAGGTTACAACAGGATCGCCACTGGCTTGTATTCTGAGCCATATCTGATAACGTCTCTAGCCACTGTGTTACACCGTCTCTCGGACCCCAACCAGGGTGTCGTGAAGGACCAACAGAAGCTAGCCCTTTGCAGCTTTCTTTCATACCACGACATCATGTCATATACTGACCACCTCTCCGCTTTTTCCAACTAGTCCCAGAGTCGGCAAATAATGCACGACGAGGAATTCTCTGGAACGACATTCATAGAACATGTCCAAGCCACCGAAGTCGGTGTTTCAAGATGGTGATACCAATTGCATTATCGTTTCTGTGACCGAACACTCGATACCGAACCTCTGCATTACTGACATGGTGTTGCCACTGGATGCCAGCAATCCTTCGGAGACAACGATGATCGAACACAGAGAGTCGTCTAACATCCTCAACTCGGAGAGCCCAGGTTTCACAAGCATAGAGCAAAACTGCTCTCACCATCGCGTTGTAGATCCGACCTTTTACAGCTAGACTGACATAACGAAGGCGCCAAAGATGGCCCAGATTGGCATAAGCCGCTCTGGCTTTCACTATACGTGCATTGATCTCGTCACTCACACCACCACCAGCACTTATGCAGCTACCTAGATACACGAACTTCTCGACTACTTCAATCTGCTCACCATCCTGAGTGAGTACAGGATTAGAATCCTGCCAGTCTTGTAGAAGAACTTTGCATTTCGAAGGTGCAAAGCACATACCATACCTACGGACATTGATTGCCAACTGATTAAGTGCGGATTGCATGGCTTGAACATTCTCGCACAGTAAGACAATATCATCCGCATACTCAGGGTCGAGAAGTCTTTCTCCAGGCAACAGATCCACACCACCATTACTTACATCCATCAGAGCTGTTTCCAGAATGTCATCGATGGCAAAGTTGAAGAGGAATGGTGAGATTGGGCAACCCTGCCTAACTCCACTGCTTGAATGGAATAGTGGAGAAAGGTGGTTGTATGCCCTCACTCTGTCTGAGGTGTGTGTATATAGGGCTTTGAGGATGTTAACAAACTTCTCAGGCACACCCTTCTTCAATAGACGATCCCAGAGAACAGTTCTGTCCAACGAATCGAAGGCAGCCTTGATATCAAGAAACACTACGATAGTTGGCCTTTGATGAGTATGACGGTGTTCTAACATTTGGCGGAGGGTGAAGATATGATCCATACATCCTCGACCAGAACGAAACCCAGCCTGTTCTTCGCGAGTCAATCTTTCTCGGGCTTTGAACAACCTACGAAGTTTGACGGAAGCCAACAGCCTGGATGCAATCGGAAGTAAACTTATCCCCCGATAGTTGTTACAGGAACAACGTGAACCCTTTTTAAAGATAGGGACAACTATCGACTCATTCCATGACGTTGGTACATTCTCTAGTTCCCAGATCTTTGTAAACAACGTCGTCAGTCCCTTAGTCAAAAAGTCACCACCATCTTTAAAAAGAGCCGGAGGTAAGTCGTCTGGACCCGGTGATTTGTAACGTTTCAAGAGTTGGAGTTCCTTGCGGACTTCCGCCTCATTTGGTGGATCAGTCGTCACCGGCCATGGAGGGCAGGACAGTCTGACCGATGTTGCCGGAGCAGCAGGCCAGTTGAACTGCCCTTCAAAGAATTCTGCCCATCGTCCAAGACGTCGATGGATGTTAGTGATTGGCGTTCCGTCATCCTCGCAGATTGTTTCGCTCAGACCAGACTTCTTGCTGCCAGTGGCTCGGATGAGTTGGAAGAGCTTCCGGTAATTACCAGATGCAGCTGCTGCTTCCAACTCATTAGCATGCTCCGACCACCAGGCTTCTCGGTCCTTACGCAAGCTTTGCCCGATTTCATTACGTAACATCCTTCGTCTGTGGTCAAACTCACGGTTACCCGGAGTAGACCGACGGGCTTCAATCAGTTGTAAGGAACCAGAAGAAACCCAGTGCTTGTAAGCGGGACGTTTCGCAAACCCACAACTGACTTGACCCGCCATTTTCATGGCGTCATGCAATTGCAACCAATGCTCATCTATACTTTTCGGTGGAATGGTAGCTAGCCTAGAAGCTAGCTCGGTTCGGTACTTACTAGCAACAGAAGTTGCAGCCAGCTTGCTAACATCAATCCTGTGGTGGCGGTCACTTCGTTGTCCACTGAAAAGTAAGGTAAGATTGGCGCAGACCAGAGCATGATCAGATTCCTGATAGGTACTCCAAAAGGAGCGGCAGTCTTGTACACAACCGCGCCAGCGGTAGCTGATCGCGATGTGATCAATCTGAGTCCAGGCTTGAGATGCAGAAGGGGGACGCCAGGTGGCACATCGGCGATGACTGTGCCGAAAGTTAGTACTAGCCAGAAACAGGTTGTGGTCTGTGCACAGTTGCAGTAGACGTTCCCCGTTATCTGTCCTGCGACCAACGAGTCCCCATCGGCCACCTAAACGACTCTCTTCTATGCCTAGACGCCCGACCATACCAGGGCATAGTTTCTCCATTAAGTGTGATTTGTGTTGGTGTTCTCCGTGTTGTATTTGAGGATCTTGCTTTTTCCCTTGTGTATGTTGAGGCCTACTGATGTAGAGGCTGCTGATACATTGTTTGTCTTGACCTGCATTTGTTGGTGTGTATGGGATAGAAGAGCTAGGTCATATGAGGAGTTCAAATCGTCTAGTTTTATCCAAGTAGTCTACTATATTCCGAGCTTTCCCTCAGATGTGTTCTTCATAATGCAGTCATCAACCAAAAGAAAGAAGAAGTGGGGGAGAGTAGACAGCCTTGTCTGACTCCAGTCCTTACTTGAAGTGCGTCTGTCAGCTGTCCTCCATACATCACTTTGCACTGTAGTCCGTCGTATGAATTCCGTATGATGCTAACGATTTTCTCAGGTACACCATAGTCCCGAAGAAAATTCCATAAAATCCTCTTATTCACACAGTCAATGAAGTTGATGTATAGTTACAAATTCAGTTCAATTGATTGTTCAACGATGATCCGTAGTGTTACGATTTGGTCTGTGCAAGACCAATCCTCACGAAATCCGTCCTGTTGATCTCGAAGTCGGGCATCTACGGAATCTTTCATCCGGTTCACCAACCCTATTGAAAATCTTTTCTGGTACTGACAGTAGTGTGGTTCATCTGTATTTCTCACATTTGCACACACCTTTCTTTGGTATTTTGATGAGGTTTCCTTTCCAATCCATCGACACTTGTTCTTCCTCCCAAATCTCGAATAGGTGATGCATGTTTGCCGTTACTTTAACGTTTGACTTCAGAGCTTCAACTGGTATATTGTCAGGTTGTGCTGCTTTCCCACACGATTTGTCTGTCCAGCTTGTGTCCAATCGGTTTCACTGTATCTCGTCATTTCCGTTGCTATTTGACTGGTCCTCCCGATATCCCACATTAACTGGACGTTCCATGTACCTACAAAATTGTTGCTCTGGTTGTTAGAAGAGGCATCGACCTCGTGACTTCGAAGAATCTTTGCTTTTATCATGAGGCGTCATAATTCTTACTTGAACTTCTAGGACAGAGTTTAAATGGTTCAATTTGGTTGATGTTTTTTTAGCAAGATTTTTTCTACAGAATGGGGTTGCCGACCCCATACCTAACCCTCCTCTACCCAAGCTTTGGGCTGGTAGTGGCACTAGAACAGCTACAGGTTGTGCTATTATTTACACTATACCGTAATTCATTTATGTTGTGTAAATGAATAACATAAAGTCATTGCTTTTCGGCATAATATATCAATCGTTTTATTAGCTACCTAGTGGTTTAAATATATAATCTTCCAACTGCTACGTTTCCTATTTGAATTTCACCTTACTTGCTGTTTGGGTACTTTAATGATATCGGTAGTCATCAAACGTAAAACACATCATAAGTCCGAGCACAAAGATTAGTAAATGGGTTACTTTTTTGATCCTTATTATGGTTATCGTTAAGGTTAACTCTTAATCACTGATATATTAAATTCTAGTTTAACTAAACAAAGTATACTACCAGTGTCCTTTATTTTTGTGTTTAGTACAAATCTTTTCTGTTTTATTTCTAAAGTGAAATATTTTAAGTATTAGGAATTATAGTGCGGTGACAACCTTTTTATTATAATTTCCTTTTTTCCATTTCAGAAAGTCGTGTACATTTACGTACTACTGATTCGAAAAAATCATCCAGTGAATATATCGCCTATTTATTTACTGGTCTCTTATTAATTTGCAAATGGCAAGAACGTCGTTCAACCCCATTGAATCCGAATTCTATGCAACAGTCTATTTTACGTATTAAACATCGTATACCACTTGATTTAATTCATGTTACTGATTTGCCTCCGATAGTTCAACCAAATTTAATTGGTTATGTTGGTCATAGTGGTCCAATGACACCGTCTTTAGTTGGCGCTGCTGTTCTAGCTGCGACATCTTCAAATAATAGTTATTCGCATAATATTAACAATAATACTGCATCTAATATGAACCCACATGAAGAAACGTCAACTACTGGGCTATCAGCATCAGGTAAGATTTTGCCATGTTCATGTTTCTTGTTATCTGATAATGAAGGCGTCATTTTGATTGTCTACTTTCAAATTTCTAGTGAATGAAAGGTTTGTGTATGATTTTAATCAAGTTTTTCATTGTCCCGTGAAACAAGTAGTTATGTATAGATATTTCTCATTTATTCAATACCTTGATGAAACTTTATTGTAAAATTTTATGGCCTTGAATCTGACTACATTTGGATCGTATAAATGATTGCTGTCGAAGTATATAAGTCGCCAATCCTCGTATATAATCATCGACTTGAATCGCGTTAATGAGTAACGGAATTAAAAATAAGTCAAATATGAGAATACGTATATTTTGTACACTCATTGATCTGGACAGGCAATGAGAGGGACAAAGCAAAAGAAGTAAAGCGAAAGAGAACAAAGCGAAATGACGCGCATGGACGTGTGTGAGCCAACTCCATTTAGTCAAGCGTTAATCGATATTTATAGCCAGATAAGTGAATATGATAAGAAGTGTACACACATGCGCTTACATAGAAACAGCCAAGGTTGACAAGCGAATAATTAAGAAGATCAAAATGTGACTCAAGAAGAATAAATAAATTGGCCTGTCCGGAAACTCGAATAAGCTATGTGGGCTTAACATAGGACCAGCCACTACAAACAGATCATTGAGTAATCGCAAACCTAGTCATCTCTGAGGTTGTTCACGTTTCATTTTAATGTTCTAGTTTTTATTCTGTTGTCGATCAATACTACATTTAACCAACTGGTTGTTATCTTTTAATGGTGAACATTTAGCTTTATTTAGCTTTTGATGGAGTTTTGTTCGCTGAACTGGATGGCTTTGTCGTAGAGCTTTCGTCGTTATTCTTAATGACATCACAAACTTCAGATAGAACTACGCGACCAAACCATCCAGCTCAGAGAACAAAACTCCATCAAACTCACCCAATTGAGTTACAAATCTTCACCAGCTTGGTTTAGTCTTAGTACATGATGATCCCCATCTTTTCGACTGTTTGCTTCGTTACAATATTAGTGTTATTTATGTCAGAGAAAATGGATGTAGTTAACTTCAAGCTAGCATTTTAGTAAAATTAAATACACACAAGATTACTGAATTGGTTTGACAGTTTTGTGGCTCGTTAATCTGACTCCAATTTGAAAGAATGAATGTTGTATGTGCCATGATTATAAATCTTTTATTTAACTTCATATATTATACCCAGGCTAACCCCGTTTGTGCAAAGATGGTAATAAGAAGCAATATACGGTTAAATGAATTTATTTCAAGCACTCGTTTATTCAGAGAGACATAAAAAAAATAATAAGCGGAGAAGCTAACCGGAGGTGATAACCGTGCGAACTCAGTTTGTCAAAGCGTGACTTAATATTTATTGCCAGACGAAAAAAGCTGAAGACATTTGATGAATAAAGTAAGCAATGTACACACGCTCGTATAAAAAGCAAGTGGCCAAGATTTAACTCAAGAAAATTAAATTGGTCTGTCCGGAAGATAGAATAACTCATGTGAGCTTGGTACAGTATTAGACACTCCAATAGATCCCATCTCCATATAGAAATTACTTCCGATTTATTTTGGCTGTATTCACCTTTGTTATAGTAATAAAAATATAGATCATTCAACCTATCAAAATACGTTTCATTTTGTAACCAGGTTACTATAACCATTCATTGTTCGATTAGTGTTGTCGCCACAAATTCTATTATTCGTTAGTGGATATTTCTATTTTTGCTTATTTGATAGGAATGTATTTAGGATTTTTGTGCTCGTAATGCTAATGCTTACATAGATTCTGTGTTTTTAATGTGGTTATACTTATTACATTTAATAATATCATTTGTAGATTTTAGAGCTAAATGAAAGATATGTTAGTTATAATGCAGCTGCGGAACTCCACGAACCATCTGAGTACCATTCTGTTTTCCATGTTAAATAATTGTGTAAAATCAATGAGTCACATTTATCATTCTAATATCGAAATCTATATAATTTTCTACCATAGTGAATTCTTAGGTTGTAATAAAATATCCATTGTCTTGATGTAAACAACTGACAAAAACAATGAAGCTTACCTTAGTTACTGCCTTGTTACTGTACTCTTCATAAGTTCCCAACTCAGTTCTTTGATGCAAAGTGATAGTATATTTTTACATTCATTAACCTTAATAGTTTTATTTTTGCTTAATTAACTATCTTAAAGAAAACTCATTTGATTGTGATAGTAATCAGAAATATCGTAGACTAGCTGAGTTAATCAATAATAAAGTGAAATAAATAGTCAAACTATAATGACAATACAAGGTGAAAAATCATCGTCCAATGAATAAATAAACATAAAAAGCGGTACATTATGGAAATTAAGGAGAAATGAGGCCAAATTGATATTAGTTGTCAAAAGTTTGAATGTGTTCTTTTATTGTTTTCTATTGAATGATAAGACATAACTTGGTGTAATGTTTTAAAACTGAGTGTGTAAACTTTACTGCTTGAACCGAAACCGATACAATGAAATGTTCTAAAGGTCAAGGGTTGGTGTAATTATACTAATTATTGAATGTTGTACTAAAATGTGGAAGTTGACAATAAGTTTAGTGTTAACCGTATGGTAGTCGCGCTAGTACTATGATTTTTTATTGTAAAGAAAAATGAATTTTCCCAGCTCTTATCCCATGGAAAGTTTTGAATCGTCGGTTACTAGAATAAAATCATTTATCTTGTTTTTATGGTAGTCTCGACATTTTTACCTGCTTTTTCTTTGCAAAGTTTTGTATAAAATTACTTTCTTTGTCTCAAACTAGTATAAAATGTTTCTCACTGTTCTTTTCCTGCTGAAGGTATGTTCGGCTAACCGATTCGAATCTATAGTGAAAATCATCTCTGAAATCTATTCAAGCTTCTGTTAGGAATCCACTGGAATTCCTCGTTAAGGTCTTCAAAATCCAGTTAAGAGTTGTAAACGTTTCGTTCAGTCAGAATACGCGAAAAATGTGTTTAGAAATTTGACGAATTTGACCAATTGGCTAGATACTTATTCTGTGGCTAAATTTAGTGTGCTTCTAGAAGTTTCCATATATCAGAGGTTACCAATAAACTTAAAGCTACTGTTGTTTTCTGTACACTAATGAACTTTAAAATAAAGCTTTGTTACTTCTGCTCTTTTCTATACTGTTGGGAGCTCAAGTACAAACGAAGTCTGGGGATGAAGAAAGCGGCTAGGAAGTCCATATTTAGCGTCAGAATAGCAGATGTATCAGCTTTCATTATAACTATCCACAGCAGATTGATTACTGAGCAGATGTTGACCGAGTTCTGTCAACCAATTTGCAACATGACTTCTGGTCTGATTGGTTTGAAATTGTATGAATTGAGGTGTTAGGTGGTTAGAAGTAGTCAACAGGAAGCCCTCGAATCACCACTCGTCAATAAAAAATGTCTTCAATGAATTTATTCTCCGTGTAGGATTCAAACTTAAGCCATCAAGCTCCATGGTCTTGAATGTTACTATGGTGCATGCTATTTATGCTGAATCATATAAGTAGTATGTGACGACAATAGGATGTGGCATACCTGTCAGCAGAAGATTGAATTTAAAAGAGTCGGAAGGGAAACAGAGCAATTATAGTAACAACGGAATTTGAAAAATCAAGAAGCGTGTAGAGGACAAATGAAGGAAAATTTATGACCTTCACATTTTGTGAAGGCACTCTGTAATTTTGCATGAAACAGTCAATTGATTATCTCCACCAAGTTTTCGTTCACTACATTACTACCGAGCTAGTCAGGACGCGACTTACCTTTAGACATTTTAATTGATAGAGTCACATGGTATTATTTCCTTTTATTTCTGTTTAGCACTAAGTCTGCTCATTTTTTTTAAACTTATGGATTCTCCCTAAAGGTTTTTTCTCGTCAAATTTTAATGGATCTATTTCAAGTCATCCAAGTTTAGCTAGCTCTAGTGGCTCAGGAGGAATCAGTGCATTTCCATTTCTTTTCGAATTAGAATATGTTGATTCGAGTTCATGTAGTCCTACAACACTGCATAAATCGATAAATCATTCCTATAATCGTCATCATCATCACTATATGTGTCATCCTGGTTCACAAAAATCATCCATTGGACGAATAAACTATAATGAAGAAGTAACTACTACTGCTACTACTACTTCTATTACTACTACTACTACTACCACTACTATCAATGGTTGTAACGAAGGAAATTCAACTCTGAATAGTCTTTCTTCATCAAATAGTGCTTCCGAAAAATTCACCTTCACTAATTTATCATCTAGTATCAATGTTAATCATATTCGAATATTTTTACGAACACCCGAAGAAAAAGCGGATTGGATAGCTAGTTTGCTAAGTATTCAAAGTTATCGGTAAATTTTTGTAAAATTAATTATTTCGTTGTTTTGACATATTGATTGAACTGTTAATTTAACTGCAATAATATTACTATCCTCCGTTACTGATATATAGATTTGTTTTATTGTGCGATATTCACCTGAAATAAGAAGTTAACAAACACTTTGATGGTCTGTCGGTCATAATTAACGTAGAGCCTGGGACTAATGTGGATCGGATCAAATCTTCATACGTTTATAGCCCTATGAGATGAAGTTAACTAAATGAAACACCAAATAGGTCGAAATAATATGGTGGCTATGATAATGAGGCAGACTTTTGATTGAGAATGTGTTTCGAAAGGACAGTGAAAATGTGTGCTGAAACTCAGGATCCGGAGTATACGAATGCATCTGCACCATTGTGAGTGAACCATGTCATTAGACATCTCCAGCCATTGATCGTGGTTATAATGTAGACCCCAATTCAGTAGTGTGCGTCTACCGATATTAGTTAGACCAACAGTCGGTGACTTCATGAACTGACACCAATTTTCGGTTTGACTTCCAGTAACTTTCAGCTTATTCTCACAAAGGCTTTACTAGATAATTTATTCATAATAATGATTATACCTTTGTAAAAAATGTATATCTTGCTTTTCACAAGAAACTTTCTATTGCTGTTAAAATGATCTAGGGAAGCATAGTAAACTGCCAAATAAGTATAGTACACTTCAAGACAATATTTAACACTTCAAAATTTGAATCAAAAACCCTCAATAAAATCTATCGCCACGTGAATTTGTGTAGAATATCTTATAGTTGAGTATACAATGATTGATTGACTGTCTGTAGATTTTTGGTTTTGTTCTTATGTAATACTATGAAATGGTATGCACATATATCTAGTTGATTAGTCTCAGTTAGGACGAAACGCGCTCCCTGGTTTCCACTGCTGGCTACAAATCCATCTGTTTTATCATAATTGGTTGCTTGTTATTTTTTTCATTTTACTCATTTTCAATTTTAACATAATATTTACTTTTGTGTATTAGATTATTTATACGGTATATACGAACTTTACCCAGACTGGAAGTCTCGCTTCGTTTGCCGTCGTCGCACATTTACAAGTAGCTATTATTATTATTTTTGTTATGATTTTATTATAATTGCTTAACTGTTGACTTATATTTCATTAATTAAAATTGTTATTTTTATTAGGAATTTTCATATGATTACATTTATCTGAAGATAAAATATAATAATCAAGCATCAATCTGTGTGTTTCACTTGCCAATATGTGTAAGCTACGTCTAGACATTTTAACGTTCAACTTGGAATAAACAGTATAAAATTTCACCGGGAGTTTTTTAAATTTGTGTAATTCATTCGTCGACAATCGACTTTGAAAGTCTAAGATTTTAGTTATTTTGACCATTAATGAAATCAAGGTGGAATCTATTAAATTTCTGGAAACACTTATGAATTGGGCACACAATTATTTTCTAATTGCGAATGATTGTGATTTATTTAATACGACAGGAATTTATATGAACTCAATAATACTATCACTGACGTACAACGCTTGAACAACAGTTCTCTATAAACGATGGAATTCAGGAAGGATTAGAGGTAGTAGCACAAATATTATACTTAAGAACTCAATATTAGAATGTAATATGTAACGGTTTTGTGACAAAAAATTAGCGCACTAATGCTGACAACAACCTACCGGAAAGCAGCAAGCGTTTCTGCAGAAGTTTATTTATTTGAACACATAAATACTGGTACAAAGAGGCACCGAATACATATGCCGCAAAAACCAATCGATTGGTGTGTGGGCTGCGATATTGTCTGGGTGCCCACACCGTAGCAGGTGCTTTTCTTAGGGGACCACGCCCGAAACCTTTGACCTAAACGTCTGATCCAAAAGACAGTGGTGTAGTGTTAGGAGATGCAGTCTCATGGTAACCGGTGACCAACAATATGTTCATACGTCATTTGTTCTTTCAAGATTCTATAGCCAATATGCATTATTGGTTTGTAATCAGGGTTTTGCAACTTCCCATCCCAAGGTGGATCCTCCATATACACCAACCCAGTTAAGCGCCGGACATTCGCCTTTCGTCTTCTCGATTTCGTAAACAACACCCCTACCTCGAGGATTAAATGAGTAGGACTTTCCTGGCATTGGCTGTATACGCGTCGCCAATGTGAAAGCATTTCGTAAGGTAGAGCTAACTCTCTCTACCCTCAGCCGTAGCAGGGCATTTGAGGGCTACTGCAGAAGTATGAATGGGGAAAATGTGATCGCGATTATCATTGCAACATAAAGTTATCATTACTCGTAGATTGGTATGTGTTATGTAATCATTTCAGCGGGTCCACCTAGGTGAGTTGGAAAACCTGATTACAAACCAATGTTGCCCATTAGCTATAGAATCCTGAAAGAACAAATGACGTATGAACTTATTGTTGGTCACCGGTTGCCATGAGACTGCATCTCCCAACACGACACAACTACCTTGTGGATTGGACCTGTAGATGGAAGGCTCAGGGTTTGGCCACCTACTTCGGTTTGTGCATCCTAACCCTTATACAAATCAATGCTATCTACTACTGGCTTCATTGTTATTGTATGGAGCATATGTATTCGGTGCTCACTTGTACCAACGTGTGTGTTCGAATAAATAAATGGATAAATAAATATTCCCAGAATATAATTTATTTATTTATTCATCTGAGAACTAGATAACCTAAGGTTTTCCTGACATAACATGACTAGAAATGCTTTGGAGATTTCTTCCCTTTTTTGAATATTTTAATTTGTTACTGTGTATTTTATACAAATGTGAATCTGTTGTTGAAATATTTAGGGTTGATATATATATACACACACTCTCTCTTTGCATACATCTTAGGTTATCCCAGTGTTTGCTTTTGAAATTCTAGGTTTTCCTTCTAAATTAACTATCTTTTATTAGATCTCTGTGTGTCCTTTGGTATAATACTTACTCATTTAAGAGAAGCAGTTACTTAACAAAAATGTTTATTCACATCGATAAACACGTGTAGAATCTCCACCGCCTTTGAAATACTCATCATTTAATTTTTCTACGTAATAGTTTATCATTTTTATCAAATAAGAAAGATTAACGGGTGTATTCCGTTTATCATTTTCATGTTTCAAACTTCTGTTGCACATAACTAAGTGCCCTGTTTATCATTTTTTGGCTCAATTGTATGAGCTGAATTCATGTTCAGGCTTTTGAATAATCTCGAGTAAATCCATAATTCTACTAGGAGATTTAGCCTGCATTAAATACTCAGTTAACGGGATATTATTTATTGGAGTCAGATATAGGGGAAATTAGCCTTGACAAACGCATTGGTATATTTCACTGAACTCATGAACCGTTCAATGTTAGACCACCATAAAAAATCTGGAAGCATTGACCAGTTCATGATTTCAATGAAACTCAACAATCTTCTCAATCCTATACTTACAATTAATAGATTGAATGTATTATGAAAAGTAAAGGATGTTTTTCATTATTCAGAGTATATTGCTTAACTGAGAAGATGTAATAAACTTACGTGAGTGAAAAGGTCGAAAGTCTTTTGTCACCAACGCAGATGAAGGTTAGCTGCTGACTCTTTCCGGGGTACAGAAGTCAGGTTTAAGCCTTCTAATTGCTAGTTTGCTCAAATTTGAATAAAGCAGGATTAGATTGTCTTTCTATTATTTTGAATGCTTTCATCCCATCTACCTTATGTCTCATCTTAATTATATGTCATGATTATAAAACTGAAAAATCTTTTATCTTTGAAACCATATGTTCTCTGGAATATGTTCAACAAAACGCGTACATACCAGTCTTCATGTTTCTTCAGTGTACGTGCTTTTTCAAGAGCATATAAGTTGTTTTAAGGATTTGAAGGGTGACATGTGGCGGATATTTTTGTTTATCTTCGTTTGTGTTATTGAACATTGTGTTATGTGCAATGAAAACACGTTTATCAGAAAGAAATGTATTTTTAAAGCTACCTTTTAATTTTTGTTTAATTTAATTTCTTTAAAATACACAACTGATTTCCAAAATACTATGTTCACTTTAAGGAGGCTGATAATTAAAACTGTAATTAAATAAGCGCTCATTCCCGTCAAGTCTAAATACTTACTTATGGGTACCCCAGCATTAATAATTTTGGTTCTGAACTCGATAATAAGAGAAAATATTTTGTTGGGCCTCTCCAATATTTATAGTAAATCGGCTTCTAAATATATGTATATCCTTTGGTCATTGTATCGATCAACATTTTTTATATGTAACTTTTTGTAATTTCAGATAAAATTAACCTTTCATTTCGATGTCTGATGGCATCTAGCTTTTACCTAGCTCACGTCGGTTAGGCATAAAAATAAAACCGTCTTGCAATTCGCATTCTTATTATTTTCTGTAGAAGATCCAACCACAACTTTGTAAACCCGTATTACCCGTCACTTTTCTTTATCTTTTATGCTATATTCTCTATTGCCTAGAATATTTACATACCTACGCCTTTCATTTCTTTGTGAAGCATAGTTCGCCTATCAGGAATTTCCAATCTACTCTTTCCTGCTAAGATCTACACAAATGTAATATAGGATTCTCTTTACATGATGTAGTTAATTATGGTATTGGATTCTGTGTTGAATATTTCTTTAAATGTTATGACAAAGCACATGCATTGGCGCCCGAATTTCAATCGATGGGTTACTGGTTCAAATCCTATTCCGTCTTTTTCAGCTTTCATTTCCCGGTAATATCAATAGCCTTGACATAATTTATGTAATTCAAATAAACTACGTAGACATGTACCTGTTAGATGAATTACTGATTGGATTTTATTAAGTCTCTAATAGTCGTGCTAGTTATGTTTACTCACTGTGTGGTTCGAACTCTCTCTCAGTTAAATAAAGATAATTTCGAACCGATCGAATTTTCCAAAAGAAACATTAAAACTATTTGGTTTTTCTCATGTACATATTTTGTTTTGCAATTGTATTTTACGACTAGATTTAGTCAACCTGATACTATGGACAATATTATATTTGAAACAAATATGCCAATATCTATGTTATATCCTCATAAAAATAATTCGATTACAAATCAACATGAACAACAGTCTATAATTCAGTCAACTGATGTAACAAATCATTTTGATTCTGGTAAAATACATTTCAATGAATCATCTAGTTATTTATGTACAACAGGTGATACTAGTCCAGATGGTGAAAGGGAAGAGGAAGAAGTCGAAGAAAGAGATGAAGATGATGACGGTGATGATGATGATGATAATGATGGAGTATTGATAGGATCACATTCTTTAACGTCTTCTAATATTGTTGTTAATTCTTCACCTCTTTCATTAGTAATTGGTCTGTCATCACAATCTTCACCGATAACAAATACATTATCAAATATGGACAATTCTACTACTACAACGACTACCATTACTCATAATAGTAATTTTATCGGGACTGAACGTAGTGATGATCGGAATGGGGAGATAATATCATCTGAACGTCATGAAAAGCAAGATAGTACTAATATTATGATGTCAATGTTTTGTAACAGTGGTTCGTCGAGTACATTAACACTGACTAGTCATGGATCATCTAATGATTGTTATAATAATAATAATAATAATAATAATAATAATAATAATAATAATAATCAAAACCAAACTGTTACGAATGGTCGTAGCAGTACAATAAAATCTTTGCGTGATTATGCTATTCAACGACAATCATCTCAATCCCCTATTCGGTCTACTGAAATTGTCAATATACACACTAATCAACGCTTTTCAAATTCATCCAGTTTTCCACCACAAATACGTATGGCTACATTAGATAAACTAATTGAACGACTCACCTATCCAACTTATTTCGATACACGTTTAGTAAATTGTTTCCTATTGGTTTATAGACGTGTTACTACATCAGATGAATTGTTAGATTTACTCATTGAAAGGTTTCGTATACCTGATCCGGAATTTCTACCTGAAGAATGGAATATTGAAGTAGAGCAGGGTCAATTGGAATCTCCAGCACAGCATATGTTAAAAAGATTTCGTTCAGGATATAAAAAGCGTATTCAATCTAGGTAAGATTTTAAAAGTAATATTTTTTTTTCACATATTTAAATGAGATAATTTCTGTCCCATTGTTATATATGTGGCCATTATTAAATTATTTTGGTAAGAAATTTAATTATGTAGCATCTATTGTCGGATTTATGTAGTAACAGCTGTGTATTGCTCTTTAATGCATGTTGTTTGTTTGTCCTTTACTGCTTCATATTATGTTTTCACCTAGGAAATTATTTTTACTACAACCAGCCCTGGTGTTCGACGTATTGATCCAACTGATTCTTTTTGTAATAGTTCTGTGTTATCTTCATTGTGTTTATGAGTTAGTAATACCACCAGGTAGGTAAATTTAATTTGCCCATACAGTGATGGAAATTTAGTAATTATACTGTATGTGTCCCCTACCTTCAATTAATGGTCGGGATTACCCATTCTAACATTCCAACCAGGCCTTTATTAGAATGATTTGCTAACAGCAGCAAATTCTATGTCCGAGAGCAAGGTCTTACTGCTAACTCTACGTGCTATGGGGTCGTCTGTGTTTATTTGTTTCTCTATAAAACACTTATTTTACGACCTTACTTAGTTCAACTTCAGTAGCGTACTATGGGCTTATACTCATTCAGGCAATAAATGACTTGTAGAATAATCTATCATTTTAGAAATCGATCAATGACAATGTTTACGGTTTATCAATCATAATAATTTTAACTTTTTCAATCAATTATTTTATTTCTAGAGTGATAATGTTCCTATCCCGTTGGGTTCGTAATGCACGTTATTATCAGAATGATTTTGCTCCTAATCCTCGACTACGTCAGAAACTGTTAGATTTTTTATCGAGTATACAAGCTAGACATTTACTTTCGTCTGTTGAACGTATTAAACATTATTTACAAAATCCTCCAATTTCTACACAATATCCTGAAACAATGATAAGAACAACTGTAAGAACAATGGAAACAAGTAAAGATAATGCGGATTTATTGCCGATATCGTCATCATCTGACCCGACATCTGTATCACCAATCGAATCAAGTCAATTAAGAAATTTTGTAAATCGTATAACCTTAAATAATGTGAGTTGATTAATGTTTCTAGTTAGTGTGTTACTTTCTTCGTGAATCATTATCGTTATTATTATTACTACTACCCTAAAATTAATGTATAGTAGTTCGAAAACTTTGAAAAGTTTGTGTAACTCAACCACTTTTCCTGTTAGTGATTTTTAGTGAGTTAGTTTTCTACGTGATGAGGTCGCTAACCCCATGCCCAGCCCTCCTTTATCTGGGCTTGGGACCGGCAGTGGCCCTAGAGGGGCTCCGGGTGGAGTTTTAATTTAACCATACAACTTTTATTTAACATTAACGACATTTTTAATTCAGAATTCGCTTTTTGCTAATCTCTATTTTAAGCATCTAGCGATTTACAAATTGCTATTAATGTTTCTTATGATAATTAGTGGTTGAAAACGTTGAATGACATATATCAGAATTGATCACAGTTGGGCGGCACTAATTCAATTTTTGATTTCCTTAAGACCTTGAGTTTTGGAATCATTGCGTAGTTCTGGTTTTTTCTCCTACTACTATACTAATACTGTAACTATCTTTTCTACTCTACTTAGTTTTCTGTGTATACTCATTCATTTTTATTATGAAAGGCCGTAGATAATTCATTAATATCAGAGACTTTAAAATCCGCTGAAAGCGTCAATCGGATAGAATCTAGTGACATACTTTCTATGTCAAGTATTTATTAAATAGATCTATGGCGAATATAAGTAAAATGGAAATTATGATGTAATTTATTATCTTTCAACGTTCGCCGTTTGTCCATATTCGAGAGACTATGAAATGCTTCAACGTATGGACTGTTATAACATGTGAATATGTCAAACCTAATGATTATAAGTTTTGTGCCCTTTCTATGGACAGACTTATTAAACATTAGTGTTGGAGATGAGTATTATAAAACCTTGTCTTCTATCAGTTACTTCTTTCCAAACTGATTCATTAATTATATTTTCAAGCAGATATACACTAACCGATTACCTAATACATTGTAGCATTGGTAATGTTTAAATGAATTCAAATTCTATAATATATTGCTCATTTTGAGCATTAAAACACTACTATTGAGTTACAAAGTACGGTATGTAGATAATGTTTTTGTAATGTGATAATTCTAGGTATTGGGTCATTTGAAGTTATCTACACCCCCAGTTAGCTTAACTACTATTACAGGTAATCATAGTTGGTAGGATTTATACGAAAGCCAGTGCTTGAAAACTCTGAAAAAGATTACTCATTATTTAGGTCAACAGTAAATTCGTTTATTTGTCTTAATTCTATATTTTCTTTAAGGGTTTATTTGTGTGTTTTTCATTAATTACTTTCTATTAATCTTTATTTTTAATAGATTCATCCTTTCAAATTAGCTGAACAGGTTACATTGTATGAATGGGAATTATATCGACGTATACCATTTTGGGAAGTTGAAAGTCGTGATCGTACTGGTAATGCTGTACCTAATCTGAATAAATCAAAGTCATTTTCAAATCGTGTAAGTGTTTAAATATATTTATCGCTAATTATAACTACTTTCTCCTTTAATATGTCTATATTATGTTCTGGATAGACATACCAAAACAATATTATTAACCTACTGAAAAAGTTTCGATAAAATCACAGTTTAAGGTGAAATATCGATTAATATAATTTAGCGTGTGTTATGAATATTCATGTTTCATTCATATTTTTTAGACGTAACTAGTTTTTGGTTTGACATTTCAAGAATTAATTGCCTATCCGATTGTTTTCTTGTTGGGCATGTTTGTATGTAAATGGATGCACATATAACATATGCCCTTGTGCGGCCGAGAGTGTAGGGAACTCTCACGCTCGAAACGCTATCAAATAGTGTATACCTACTATCAAATAAGTCCTATACATTGTTTTGTCGCGGAAGGGCTTTTGTTTACAAAATTCAGTGGACGAAAAGCGAATGCCCGACGCTTAACTGGGTTGGCGTATATGGAGGATCCACCTTGAGATGGAAAGTTGCAAAACCCTGATTACAAACAAATAATCCACACTGACTATAGAATCTTGAAGGAACAAATGACGTATGAACATATTGTTGGTCACCGGCTACAATGGGACTGCATCTCCTTACATTGCTCCACTGCCTTGTGGATTAGACCTGTAGATAGGAGGCTCGAGGTGTGGTCCCCTAAGAGAACTACCTACTTCGATTTGTGCATCCGGGCAGTACTCCAGCCCTCAAACAAAACGATGGGTTTGTGTGGCGCACATTTTTGTGGTTCCTTCTTGTATTAATGTTTATATGTTTAAATAAATGAATAAAAATAAGATCTTGATAAAGACGCCAACAGAATGGAGTATCTTCTATGAACATAAATTTTAATGAAGGAAGTTTTAGTTCAGCTTTCTGTTTACCTTTCATCATCACAATAAGCGTTTTCTATTTTCCCTCATCATTTTCGCCAAATTATTTCTATTTAGTTTTAGTATTTACTCATTTTGCATGATTTACAGTTAACTTTGATTTTTTTCGATTACTTTCAATGAAAAATAGTCGAATAATGAATTTTATTATGAAAGAAGATAAATTGATTAACATCACTGTTTATTCTACTTTTTAATATTAAATAAATAATAGTTAAAATGTTGCATCTTTGTTTCATAGCCGTTAGTTGTTTTATTCGTTTGACTAATTGACTTCAATGTCGATTTCTTAATTCACAATAGTCTTTTTTCTTCTCTTTTAAAATTACTAAAATAAGTAGTTTTTTTTTGAGATTATCAATAATTTAAGAGTAATTATTTAATTTGTTTAATTAATATATCTTATTTCATAAAGTTGTACTGTACTGTGTTATACGATATATTTGTTTGTTAATCCAGTTTTAGTTAATTATCTGTGAACTAATTAGTTGATGAATATTAATGTTTATCATAATCTATAGTGCCTTAGTTTCAACATGATTACTGCACTTGATAAAGCGATATCGTTTACATGATAATTCATGTAAAATGATTTTGACCTACGTTTGATGTTTGCTAGCATTCATTAATATTGCGTTGGCTCAATTGGTTCTTGAACATATCCTTACTCGTTTATTTATTTAAACACATAAACATTGATTCAAAGAGGTACTAAAATATATACGTGTAACACAAGCATGTATGTAGGCTAGGGTAGTGCCCGGGTACCGAAACCGAAGCAGATGGTTTTGTTAGGAGGCCACATCTCGAGCCTCCTATCTACAGGTCTAATCCACAAGGCAGTGGAGCAATGTAAGGAGATGCAGTCCCATTGTAGCCGGTGACCAACAATATGTTCATACGTCATTTGTTCCTTCAAGATTCTATAGTCAGTGTGGATTATTTGTTTGTAATCAGGGTTTTGCAACTTTCCATCTCAAGGTGGATCCTCCATATACGCCAACCCAGTTAAGCGTCGGGCATTCGCTTTTCGTCCACTGAATTTTGTAAACAAAAGCCCTTCCGCGACAAAACAATGTATAGGACCTATTTGATAGTAGGTATACACTATGCAAATTCTGAAGTTTTTTTTGGGCTCACAAAGCCAACATTTTGTATACTTACTTACTTACTTACTTACTTACGCCTGTTACTCCCAATGGAGCATAGGCCGCTGACCAGCATTCTCCAACCCACTCTGTCCTGGGCCTTCTTTTCTAGTTCCATCCAACTCTTGTTCATTTTTCTCATATCTATCTCCATTTCCCGGCGTAATGTATTCTTTGGTCTTCCTCTCTTCCTTCGACCTTGAGGATTCCATATGAGGGCTTGTCTTGTGACGCAGTTCGGTGCTTTCCTCAATGTGTGTCCTATCCACTTCCAGCGCTTCTTCCTGATTTCTTCCTCCACTGGGATCTGATTTGTTCTCTCCCACAGTAGGTTGTTGCTTATAGTGTCCGGCCAGCGGATCTGAAGTATTTTGCGTAGACAACTGTTAATAAACACCTGTATCTTTTGGATGATGGATTTCGTAGTTTTCCAGGTTTCCGCCCCATACAGTAGAACTGTCTTGACATTTGTATTGAAAATTCTGACTTTGGTGTTGGTTGCTAATTGTTTTGAGTCCCAGATATTCTTCAGTTGTAGATATGCTGCTCTTGCTTTGCCAATCCGTGCCTTCACATCTGCATCAGATCCACCGTGTTCATCGATGATACTACCCAGATATGTAAATGTTTTTACATCTTCCAAAGCTTCTCCGTCAATTGTGATTGGATTGTTGCATGCTGTGTTGTATCGAAGAATCTTGCTTTTCCCTTTGTATATTGAGACCTACTGCTGCTGAGGCTACTGCTACACTGGTCTTCATCTCCTGCATTTGTCGTTGCGTGTGCGATAGAAGAGCCAGATCATCTGATGAGTCCATATCGTCCAGCTGCATCCTAGCTATCCACTGTATCCCGTGCTTCCCTTCAGATATTGATGTCTTCATGATCCAGTCGATCACCAGGAGAAAGAGAAAGGGTGAGAGTAAGCAACCTTGCCTGAAACCGGTCTTTACTTCGAACGACTTTGTCAACTGTCCTCCATGCACGATTTTGCAGTTTAATCCATCATAGGAATTCTGTATGTTATTGACTATCTTCTGAGGCACGCCGTAGTGTCGAAGAAGCTTCCATAGGGTTGTTCTGTCCACGTTATCAAATGCTTTTTCGTAGTCGATGAAGTTGATATAGAGTGATGAATTCCATTCAATTGATTGTTCCACAATGATCCGTAGAGTTGCGATTTGGTCTGTGCACGATCTATCCTTACGGAATCCTGCCTGTTGGTCTCGAAGTTGTGCGTCTACGGAGTCCTTCATCCTGTTTAACAATACCCTGTTGAAGACTTTTCCTGGTATTGAAAGAAGAGTGATTCCCCTGTAGTTGTCACAGTTGCTGAGATCGCCTTTCTTTGGTATTTTGACTAGAAGTCCTTCTTTCCAGTCTTTTGGTACCTGTTCTTCATCCCAGATCTTTCTGAAGAGAGTTTGGAGTATCCTTACAGTTGCCGCTACGTCTGCTTTCAGTGCCTCTGCTGGAATGCTGTCTAGTCCTGCTGCTTTGCCACTCTTGATTTGTCTGATAGCCATGCTGATCTCTTTAATTGTTGGTGGGCCAACATCAATTGGGAGGTCCGTGAGTGCTGCTTCGATGTTGGGTGGGTTCAGTGGGGCTGGTCGATTCAAGAGTTCTTTGAAGTGTTCTACCCACCTGTTTCGTTGTTCTTCAATGTTGGTGATTTTCATGCCTTCCTTGCTTTTCACTGGTCGTTCTGGTTTACGGTGATTTCCGGAGAGTTTCTTCGTTGTGTCATACAGTTTTCTCATATTTCCTTCTATTTCGGCCTTTTCTACAGTCGTTGCTAAATCTTCCACATATTTACGTTTGTCGGTTCTCATGCTCCTCCTCACTTGCTTGTTTAAGTCCGTGTATTCAGCTTGTGCCTTGGCTTTTTCTGCTCTTGATCGGCTGGTATTGATTGCTGCTTTCTTGTTCCTCCTTTCTTGAATCATATCCAGTGTATCAACCGTGATCCAATCTTTGATGGTGCTTCTTTTGGCCCAGAACCTCATGACATGTTGAAGTGATTGCTTCTTTTATCTCTTTCCAGTTGCTCTCCATATTAAGTCCCTCTGTATTGAGTAGATCGTGAAAGGCCTGGAACTTATTGTTGAGGGCTATCTTGAATTTGTTGAGTTTGTCATTATCCCGAAGAAGAGCCGTATTAAACTTTTGTGATACTGTCCTCCCCGTTGCCCAGTGCTTCTTGAGTTTCGATTTGATCTTAGCGACCAGCAAGTGATGATCTGATGCTATATCAGCTCCTCTCTTTGTTCTCACGTCCTCCATCGTCCTCCTGAACTTTTTGTTGATGCAGATATGGTCGATTTGGTTCTGTGTGCTGTGATCCGGTGAGGTCCATGTGGTTTTGTGGATGCGTTTATGTGGGAATATAGTGCCGCCTATGACCAGTTTATTGAGGGCACATAGGTTTGCAAATCTCTCACCATTTTCGTTCCTTTCTCCCAGTCCGTGTCGTCCCATGATCTCTTCATATCCGGTGTTGTCAATTCCAACCTTGGCATTTAGGTCTCCCATCAGAATAGTCAGGTCTTTTGTTGGGCACTTCTCGACGATTGACTGCAGCCTATCGTAGAATTGATCTTTAGCATCTTCATTGTATTCGTTGGTAGGCGCGTAGCATTGGATGACGTTCATTGTAATGCCCTCTTTCTTTGTTTTGAAGGAGGCTTTGATGATCCTTGGCCCATGAGATTCCCATCCTATAAGTGCATTTTGTGCTTGTTTGGACAGCATCAATGCTACTCCTTGTGTATGTGGGGCATTTTCTTGTTCATGTCCAGAGTATAACAGCAGCTCCCCTGAAGCTAGTCGTTGTTGTCCAACTTGCGTCCAATGTGTTTCACTGATCCCAAGCAACTCTAAATTGTATCTCCTCATTTCTGCAGCAATTTGGAAAACTCTCCCAGTCTCCCACATTGTGCGAGCA